TAGAAATAAAAAGTCAAAAATGAATAAGAGATAAAAGGAAATAACAGGATTTAAGTAAAAAGAGAAAACTTAAGAACTTCCAGCTGCTAATATCAATAATAATTTGTATGTACTGCAATACAAAGAACAAGCAGTGACACATGTAATGTGAACTGTATCACACTAAACAAGCACATTTACTGGTATCTACTCATAACAAACATGGCCGCTTTATTATTTCAGTGCTGCCTGTCTGTGCTGTTCAAACAGCCATTCCATCATCCAGCTCAGAAATAAATCAAGTACACCACAATGTAAGCATTGGTTATTCAAATGGGACTCTCAGATAACACAGAGAAAAAGCAAACAGCTCGCTGCCAAATGTGGCTCATGTAAAACTAATTATAACACAGGCTTTGTTTGCACCTGTGGAGACGCAGTGTGTGCACAAGCCTCTGATTCTGTTAGCCGCTGATGTGACGGCCAACAGGAAATTGGTACTAATAACTTTAATACTTTAATAACTTACTTTTGTCTTTGTCTACTTTCTAATTCTGGAGACATTAATAATAGCTTTGATTGAAACCTATTATTTTTTTGTTTATTTGTTAAGATATTTCATAAAATATGTGTGTGTGTGTGTGTGTGTGTGTGTGTGTGTGTGTGTGTGTGTGTGTGTGTGTGTGTGTTCTACATTTAAGGTCATATATTTTGTGGTTTATATGAATTCTTTATTGTTTCACCGTATCGTCTTTGCTGTCTTCAGGTTGGGATCTGCTTGGATTAGAGCCACCATACACGGCGTCTTTTATCTGCATATTATTTTAAGCACATTTGTCATCTTGCGTATAGACGTTTTATGTGGAATTTAAAAAATAATTGCTCGCATTTGCAATCCAAATTATTTTTCCTTTCATTTGGAATTTTCACTGAGGCCAATAACGTCCTTTGTAAGGCCATGGGAATCAGTTTTATATTTTATATCAGGGGTTGCTGATCGAAAGAGACGTCTCTAAGTATTTCTGGTGTATATGAGCCTCGTAGAGCTGTGCAGGCTTTGTCTGTATAGATGAGTCAAATTAAAAGCAGCCCACATTTAAATGAAAATAAAATAAATGAGTGAATGAGCAACACTGGAAATGGTTTGCTGACTATTTATTTTTACAAGATAAATTTAAAATATAGTTGCCAGGCAAACATCTAATATTAAAATGTTTTAATCATTAATTAATCAACTATTGAACTGATTTTATTCCACTATTATTAAGTCAGCCAGTAAGTAAAATGTATAAAATAAGAGATAAAAATAAAACATATAACAATGTAAAGCAATAGAATAAAACAACAAATTAAATTAAATGAAAAACCTGTATGTATAAAAATGTCTTCAGCTGGTTTCAGTGGAGTCTGCACGACGTGAAGACAGTGGGAGTGAATTCCAGCCTTGAGTAAATGTGGCCAGCAGCAGCAGCCTCGTACCTGAAGACCTGATGTTTGAGTATGTCAGAGATAAACTGGGGCTGAGACCATGAAGGGCCCAAAAAATTCAAACTAAAATTTTCTGGCAACCAATGAAGAGAAGCCAAAACTCGAGTATATGCGATTTTCTGTTGGCGCCAGTTTAAAGTTCTGCAGTCTGAAGACCAACCAAAGCTCATTTATTAAAACATAAAAAGATAACAATAACAATAATAATCTTTCAGAATAATCAGAAACTGTATTTTATGCTGATTGGTACCAGAAACAGAAGCACCTTTCAAACCTAATTATTTACTATCAAAAATGACTAAAAGTGTTTTGCTGCTGGAAATATTTGGTATTTAAAAAGTAAAACTCTCACATGTGGTATTCTTTATTCAGTCCCATTCGACCTTTAAAGAGACTAATAAAGCAAAATAGGATATTTCAAAGAAGAGAAAATTGAAGAGCCCTTCTTTGCATTTCTACTTGAATGTTCTTTTGTTTGACCCTTTATTTAAAAACCTTTAGACTTTGAATAAATTGTCATGCCAGTGATTCCCTGAAGCCTTTTACGGAGGGTTTCAAGGTGAATGGAAGCCACAACCACTAGTCCTTTTACTGACAAATGACTGCGGCCAAGCCCTTTCCTGGCTCGGTGAATTTGAAGGGGGTGGTGGCTTTCACCACAAACTTAATTAGGTTTGTTTATTTGGGTAAGATTTACATTCAGGAACCCTGTGCACATCCTTTATAAGGACACGTAAGAAAGGGCAGAATTGTTAAGGAGGGGAAGTTAGGACAAAATGTCGTGAGCAGCTTTGTTTATCGATCTGTGGGGTGCAGGCCATTCAAATGATGGCTGGTCAGGCCTTTGAATACCTTTGAAGGTCATCAGAGTGTCACTGCTCATGCACAGAAAGTTCACATCAAATAAAACTATTTTTTCAAAAGACTGAAATTTGAAAAATAATCATTAAATATTTGATTTTTATTGCAAATCCTGTTGATTACATTTGAAAATAACCGTAAAACAGACGAGTTTTGTGCATATTTGTAGGATCTGGTGGATCTTATTTTTTATCTACTGTAAAAAATGAGAAATATAAACTTTCTAATGTGAAGCACATGCACATTTCTTCCTGTCAGCAGAAGACGGCCAAAAGGTTTTGGGTGTGTTAAAAAAAAAAAAAAGCCAACAGGGCGTTAAAATAATTTACTTCCCTGAGTGGTTCTGAAAGCCTGACAGCACCAGTTTGTAGAAAGAGTCAGCCTGGAAGTGATCCCAAGGAAATATTTTGAATATATTACCATGCTGAAATAGGCTGTAATCGTTATTGATCGTTATTTTAATTCATTTGGATAAAATACACTTCATGTAAATGCTGACAAATTATGAACTGTACTATGCAGAAAAGAGTAATACTCTGAGTTTAAATAAACAATGTTCAGTAAAAACAGCTTTATCTTTTCATAATGAAAACAAAACACAGTTTCTGATATCAATAGGATGCAAATGGAGCTTTGCTTTGCTGTGCATTATTTGCATGGCTTGCCTTTAAACTCTGCTATCGTCAGACTTGCTAAGTTGGTAAATGTAAATGTGTGCTGCAGTACTCAATCACTCTGGATTTGGCGTGTTTGTTTAGAGCCCAGGCGTGCGGTTCTTCACAGGTGCTTGTGTCAAAGCAGGAGGCCGGCTCGCTGAGGCATCCGCTGGTCAGTGTCTCCATCTAGTGTTGACTCCACAGACTGCATGCAGGAGCGCTTTCCTTAAGCTGCTTTAATGTTACCACAGCAACAGTGCGCAAACACTGTGCTAAGATGTAGTCAGACTGTGACTGACAGCTGACAGCGGCATGATCTCTCATATATTGTGGAGTTTTTAGCTCAGGATGTAAAGTCCACAGAGGCAATGTTGTTGTGATTTGACACTATGTAAATAAAAATGAACTGCAGAAGGTTTTTTTTTAATAAACTACAAAAAGTAACTAACAACATAAAGAGTTCTATGAGATGAAATGTGCAACATCTGCATGTTGTTAGATTTGATTTAATCACTTAATTGATATATTTTAAAGAAGACGATGCTTCAAGGAGAGGAGAGCTGTGCTGACTCAATGCAGCAGTTTTGTCTGATTGTGGAAAGACAAACACACAGCGATGCAGGAAATACGTACAAGTGCCACAAGATGATGTATGCTGAGACGTTTAATCTCAGTTTAGGTTTAACAATGTCAACTTACTGTTTATTGGCTTTTATGCTTTTTCCATATTTTGCACTTTTAATATACTAGCTACGCCTCACGGATCCCCTAAAAGTGTGTTATTTGTTATTTGCTTTCAGGAGAATTTTTATGTTCTGTTGTATGAATGTAAATGATATCTGCATGAAAAGAGGTTGCTTGTTTATATCTTCATTAATGTAGATGTGTATTTATGGTTTTATGGAGGAAGAATAGCCAAGGCTAAGACTGATAGCATATTTTCATTAAATACAAGCAGCTAGAATACAAAGCAAAAAAGCATAATCACACTTAAAGCTTACTGAAGATACAGCAGAGAGGAGCCTCACCATGACATGGAGTGTTCAGCATAACATTTGCATATTTGTGTTGACCTTTGAAATTGAATAACTTAAGATTATAATATGATTTATTATTATTAATGGAATTTATGCTGTGCCCCTCTACAGACACCCCTCTGCATCCCTTTCTTCACATTTAAACTATAATCTACTCACACTCATATAGTACCTTTATAGTCTTACTGACCACTTTTAGACTACGAGTCAAATTCTAACCATATATTCATGTAGCACTATACAATTAAAGTATTTTATCTGCTACTATCCACATGGTGATTAAATGAAGGACTCTTATTGGTATTTTACTGTGAAATACTGACAGTAAGAAAAAACTACTCATTTATTAGGATCCTTTCAGACAGTTTCCTTTAAAAGACAATTGAATGACCCACCACTGGCCCAAAGCTCACCATCCCACGGATTCTACGTTGGATCAGGCCTTGTGTCCATAAAGTTTGCTTCTGCATGCTTTTGAAGCTTCGTGTATTAAATGTTAAATATGAATAAAACTTGAATTAAAACTTGAAACAATAAAAAAGTGAGCTTGTATTTTCCTGCTGTAGTGACTAAGAACACATAAAGGCATACATACGTTACATACATACATATTATACACACAGTGCAGTGCATATATGTACAGTCTGTATAACTAATTGCTAATTACTCTGATGTTAAACACAATTATAAAAGCAAAGTATACGTTTTTAAGTATTCATTTCTAAAGGAAGGGAGAAGAGCACTGACAGATGGACAGCATCAAATACGTTATTACAACACAAACCATGTTTGTAATAAACTTTTACATGAGCGGGATATTCGTCCAGGGTGCTGCTCTCAAAGTTACAGCACTGGTCACAGAGCGGGCACACGCCCAGAAACAACACTGCAAGAGTGACAGCGATTCAGCCTATCACCGTTTACGGTAGGTGGGACTTCCGGTGACATTGACAAATCAGTAATGGCGACATAAGAACAACTTAAACATGACAGCAAAACAACACCGAGGGGGAGTGAACTTATGGACAGCAGTCATATTTTGAAGAAATATTATAAAAATTTCATCTAATTATCTGCAATTTCAATCCAGCGAAAAGGTAAAACGACTAACGGTGGTTCGGTTTTGATGAATACTGAGGTGTAACTACTGTTAGGAACTGCTAACTGTCCAAACTTTCTAACACGGACGCAGTTCGCTACATGGAAACCAGAGCCAGCTAACGGGCTATGCTAGCTGACGTTAGCAGATGGCTAAGTTACCCAACGATCGAGCAAAGCGGCAGCGAAAAAACGGCCGAATTTAGGGCTTTTGTGAAACCGCGTGTCTATAAACGCGATACACAAGTTAAATTGTGCGTCTTTAAATGTTAACTAGGTCATGTCAGGTGCTCGACTTTCATCTTAACTTTGATTTTGTCTGCATATCCGTTATGGCCACCAGTTTTTTGGGGAAGCCATGATCCAATCAGAGTGGGCTCTACAGTTGATCGAGCTAACGTTACTGTAACTGTACAGGGACGGTCGGAAAACAGGCCAGCTGGTCCTCCAACAGCGTTTATCTACGTGGCGCTGATTGTTATGCATGTTTTTTGTTTTTCTTATAGGTGTTTATGACATCGCTGTGTTTTCTAACGGTGCAGATACGTTTTGCAGTCACTATGCAGCTCTATAAGTCAATCATGCTATGGCTGTTGAGACCCTGGAAATTTCTGGCTCATAGTGACACTTGTAAGCAGAACATAACGTCAGACACACGTCAGCTAATTCTTTCTATATAAAAGAATCCTTTCACGCAGCCTCGGGTTTTATTATTCTGTGTGCAGGAGAGCTTTGCCTTTAACCCTTGTGCCCTCAAATTTTGCACCCCTTTCCACACCTTCGTGGACAAAAATGTCCACGCACAAAATCTGCCATAAAATACAGCAATAATTTTTCTGCGTGTTTTCATAAATCACCAACTTTAACCTTTTTCAAAATGAGCAAGCGTTAAATGATTTTCAGAATTTTAACCCTTTAAATCCCGGTTTAAACATTTGAACCAATGCATTTTGTTTTTACCCCCCCACACACACACAACACGAATTATTTTCCGTATAATGAATAGAATTGGGGATACGGACATGTCAAACATCAGCAACAAGTCTGATTTGAATGGATTATTATTTTTTGTGTAGTGCACATGTATAATCATAATCAGCATACTTTATTAATTCCTAGGGAAATTATGTGGGTTACAGTTGCTCCAGTACAGTAACATTAAAAAAAAGACTAGACTATGTAACAATACAATATTTTAAGATATAAGAAATAAGGAATAATACACACCCAATCTGCCATAAAATCCTCATAAAGAAATACATTTTTCTGTCTTTAATTTTTCATAAATCATTAATCAACTGGACTTTCTCTCAAAGACACACATACGTCACATATTCAAAGCCTGGGTATTTCAGTTCATATTTGTTCATATTTCATATGTTCTGTTGTGTTTTCAGTGTTGTTGCAGTTTGCATAATAAATGTTCTCATTGATGAATTAGATGTTGTTTCACACACACATCCATACAAACCACTCCTGGGGCTCCCTGGTGGTCACATGACTCCATAATACAACTGGCAAAAATACAAGAATTTCATGCATTGGTCTACTATGGGGAAATGGTTGAATATGGTGAAGTACAGTAAAAATGTCAAATATTACTGCTTTTCTTCCAAATGAAATGCTAACATTACAGAATGCATGGTTTTATACTGCAATGCAGAGAGATTAAAAAATGTTGTTTCAGTGAAAGTGATTGAGGCCTTTCTGTCCACGAAGGTGTCGAGAAGGATTACCAGGCACTACACAAAAAATACGAGTAATGAAATTAAATCAGTTTGACATGCCCAAGACTCTAATCACCACCAATGTCCTATTCCCATACTATTTATTATATGGAATCATAATCAGGTTTAACTGTTAAACAGGCATTGAATTAACTTAGTGGCTGTTTCCAACATTCTTTGATCACTGATAAACATGATTGACGTTGTTCACAAACAACAGCTAACATATTAAAATCCATTTTTGGATGGTATGTGCCTCATCTTGTTTTCATAGAATTAAAATCACATCAGTCATGTTCTTATTTTCCTCCTCTAGCTGCCTGGTACTAGGGCTGGGCGATATGGCCTAAAATCCATATCGCGGTATAATTTGAAGCACGTGCGGTAACGATATATATCGCGATATATACGTTATACATTTTCTTCTGTATTTTCCACACTATAAGGACTTAAAATCCTTTAATTTTCTCAAAAATCGAGAGTGTTCCTTATGTATGAATTCTGGTTGTGCTTACTGACCTGGAACGGATTTCGGCTGCAGAAATCTGTTAAAAAATGTTTTAGTACAACTTTGGTAAGCCGCACTGCTTGATGGATTGTCAGAGCATTACGGCTGCCATAGTGAGGAGCTCCGCGGAGTAATCTGAGTCCAAAACTCCGTCTGCTTCAGGTCCCAAAGTCAAACGAACACTGAGAGTTAAAAACGGTCTGAATTCTTTAATCTTTAATAAAATCATCAGCGTTGCTGTTTTATCGGGTGTAACAATTAAGTTTAACATCCAGGCATCCATGAAAACAGAATTTATTAAATTTAACGGAGTTAACAGTTAGCAGGAAGTTAGCTCGCTAGTTTCCACCTAAACATTTCATACCATGTTCTGACAGAGATTTCTGAAACTAATTCAAACGTACAGCTCTGCTACCACTTCCAACATAAATGAAGACAGGAAACTAAACAGCAGTGATGTTTGCAGGGTTACTGAAGTTGGGCTAGCTGCTATATAATGATGTGCTACGTGATTGCTAGCGACACAGCTATGTTAGCATAACATTAGCACAGTGAAGCTGGAGGATGAACGCCAACTTTTTTTCCCGCTCGATAAAAGTTAACGTGACGGATTCTGGTGGTCAGGATCAAATACAGTCGCATAGCAGGATGCTGTACACGGGCCAAACTTCAGTCAGGAGAACAACTGAGATTATTCATCCACAATACGAGGTTAGTTATCAACATACTGCAACAACACGGGAACAGAGCAGCTGCGAGAGAATTCAACATTAATGAATCAATGTTACGGAAGTGGAGGAAGCGCAGTTTTTGGCTTTCCCCATATTTCAAAAGTGCTTCATCTCGTTGCTATGACTGTCGCCCAGCATAATTTGCAGATCATAATGGTTGTAGCCGCTGCGATGCTTTCGACCAAAACAGGCGCAGCTTGATGACATCATCAACATGCGCTATCGCAATAGAGCGGTATAGTCAAAATCTCTATCGTTGGCCAAATTTATATAGTTTCTATCATATATCGTTTATATCGCCCACCCCTATCTGCTACTTTCACAGGTATTCAGTAGATGTCCGGCCCCTCAGAGACATCAGGTGGTATGTCGCATCCTGGCCCTTCTCCTGGGGCGGGTATGTCCCCAGGGCCCATCTTGGGCCCCAGCCCTGGACCAGATCCCTCACCGAGCTCTGTTCACAGCATGATGGGCCCCAGCCCTGGACCCGGAACACCCAATGCACCTCACGGCATGCAGGGCCAGGGACAAAGTGATTACTCTCAGGACAGCATGTACTCTATGCATAAGGTACAGCGTGCAAACAGTACTACAAACTATGTCGTGATGTCATTAGTGCTAAAGGAAACTGTTAAAGTAGATATTTATATCACTCTGATGGATTCAGTTTTTTTAAACCTTTTAGTATGCTCACTAATAAACCGACCAAACTAAAACAAGGAAGGGAGGAAACATTAGGAAGATATGAAATACTTTATTTATCCTTTTATATATCACATAAATATATATTAGCTTAAATGAGGGAATACGACATATCTGTTGTTTGATAAATTGATACAGACATAAATAATAAATGTGAATTTTTGCAGTACTTTTATAATCTTTTTATACTCTTGAGTTCATGCAGTGGAGGGTGGAATAGATTTTTTTGTTATGGTAATTTTTAAAGATTTTGGCAGTTTCACAGTAGAATTACTGATGTTACTTCTGCTTAGGCAGGCAGTTCATTTTGCTGCTGTAATAATCCCAACTTTGGAACTAATAAAGGCTGTCTTATTTTATCTTATCTTATTAATGTTTATTTTTGATATGATTAGAACCATCAGTGTCCTAAATTCAATCTTAAACTGGCAGGACAGTGTGTTTTTGCAGTTAACTTGTGTAGATCTGAAACATATTTTGCGTTTTCAGCCCATGGAGGGGATGAATGACAAGTCAATGGCAGAGGCAATGCACTTTGGTCACATGAAAGGTGTGGGGATGAGGTCTCTCCACAGTGGCATGGGACCTCCACAGAGTCCTATGGACCAGCACAGCCAAGGTTTGAAACCCAAGTCCTTCAGCTCTCTAAGCAGCCTGGTTTATTAACTTAACCTCATCATCCACTTGTGGTGTTAATGTTTCTCAGACATCTTCTAAATATAAGAGTTAATATTAAACAAGGAGGAAGCAGCAAGGAAATAAACAACCCACCTGTGTATTTTCCTCTTTCTAGTGTGTTAATGATTAAATAACCTCTAAGACTCATTGACTTTTGCTCTGATCCCGAGGTTGTGACCCAATTCTTCAAGGCTTTGATGTGTGAAACCTCCTTTCTGTCCACTTAAGGGTACATGTCTCCCCACCCATCCCCAATGGGAGTCCATGAGCACGCTTCAAGTCCCATGTCAGGAGGCGGAGGTGGACCTACACCACCACATATGCCCCCTTCCCAGTCAGGCCCTATGATGTCAATGGATCCCCAAGGAGGCATGCCCAACATGGGCCAGCAGGTGAGGGGGTCATCTGCTTTTAGTCCAGTACAGCTGCAGCAGCTCAGAGCTCAGATTCTGGCCTACAAGATTCTGGGTCGTGGGCAGCCGCTACCGGAAAACCTTCAGCTGGCTGTTCAAGGTAAAAGGAGCCTACCCACAATGCAACAGCAGCAGCAGCAACCACAACAACAGCCGCAGCCACAGGCACCAAGTGCCAGTCCTTACAACAGGCCTCCAGGTACGATACAGATTTATGTTGGTACAAATATTTTGTGAGTTTCTTTGTTGTGAAAGTCTTTGAACATTAACAAGTAAAGATAAAGAAGAATTATGATTTTGTTTTTGGTTCTTTGTTGTACCTTAATGTGAGACTGTAGTGTAGAAAGATGCCTCAGTCAAAATATAAGCTGATCTAATTACATAGTTTAGTTTTGGGTTTACGTTGCTGTCAATAAATTGAGTAAAAAGCTTGAAATTGTCACTGAGCCCAGATTGAAACATTCATATTGAACCTGTTTTGTCTGACAGAGAACAGAGATTTGTGTGATTAATGGTGTAATGACAGAAAAGAGGCGTGAAATAATTTTCCTTTACAGTTTCAAATTGTAACGGACAAATTGTTGAACTATGAAATCTGTTATTGTGTTGAAAGGTATGCCAATGGCACCTATGGGGGGTCCCCAGTCGAGTCCCTGCCCAGCCCCAGCCATGCAAGTACTCAATCAAAGCACAGGACCCAAGCCTTGGGCCGATGGTAAGTTTGGCAGGTGTATGTGGTAAACATGGGCTCTGTGGCTGGACCGATAACACGGGAATCTGCATGTGGCTTCACAGTCAGTCCCACTTTTCATTCCGCCCAGTCTAATCCAACATGCAGTGCCCAACAGATCTTTCTGTCAAATGGCTTAAAGCAGAGAGATCCCCAAGCATTTACTAAAACTTCAGTTCAGCAGGTAAAGGTGAAGAGAATAATGGTGCAGTAGTAATATGACAGAAAGTATGACAAGAAGATGAAATATTTAGAATGAATAGTAAAACAGTCATAAATTAAAAACAGATACAGAACAAGAAAATCTCAACTTCCACTGTGGTCGATTTAAAATTGAACAAATAGAAAAATGAATCTGTCAGAAGCTCAGGGAGATCTTTCTGACAGCTAATTGCTCCCAGGTGAGGACACTGTTTCCTCTGTCATGAGCTCTGGCGTTGTGTTGGTCAGTTAACCGTGTATGAGGAACGGAAAAATTGACCTCCTGAAGCCAAAGGGGGAAAAATCCATAAGATGTGTGTAAGTGCCAGGTTGTCTGTAAACACACAGGTGCATTTACTGAATTGAGAAAACCCTGGTTGATGTGCGTGTGTTCATAACTTCCCATGTGATAATTTGGTATTTTTGAATAATTCCCAGTGCAGACATTTTTACAGACGGTATTTTTACCTAACGTATCCAGTTCGTCCCTTTGGGGTCATCACAGTGGATCCATCTCACCCTCTGCACCGTCTTCTCTCACACCAATGATCTGCTCATCCTCTCTAACTACATCTGTAAACTTTCTCTTTGGCCTGAAAACTTTCTTGTGTCTTTATAATTCTTTGTGCAGCGTATTTCCTCTCTCTCGTCTGTAGATGTTCAGACCATGTCCTCTCCAAAGATCCAAGCTGAGCTGTCCCTCTGATGTGCTCATTTCTAAATTACTTCCACCCCCATCTTTGTCTTTTATGTTAGTGTCTCCAAACCATCATAGCAAGCCACTCACATCTTGTAAACCTTCCTTTTCACTCTTGCCGCTGTCCTTCCGTCACCGATCACCCTTGACACTCGTCTCCACCCTGCTTCACTCTTCTCTTCACCTCTATTGTCCACTGTCAGTTGCTTTGAATGGTTGCCCCCAGGTATTTAAGCTCATTAAGCATAAAAAAACTCATGCAGCTTGTTGTGGTTAAAACCAAACTGAAAAAAACGAAACAATACTGACACGTTAAATTTTTAAAAACCTTTTGGTACTGAAGGAATTTGAGATTTTGGTTATGTGGGACTGGATGCAATAACCAGAAGTCTTTGCTCTCCAGGTCAGTGTGCTGAAAATCAAACCATTGCACAGAAGCAGCTCACTCCTGTTGCTAGTGGTCGCCCCTCTCCTGCACCACCTCAGGCCTCTGCTGTGCCAGCTGGGCCCATGCCGGGCAGTTCGGGGACCCCTCAGCCTCCTGGGCAGCAGGGGTCCGTAATGCTCCCGATACAGCACAAGCAGAACCGCATCACGCCTATCCAGAAGCCCCAGGGCTTGGACCCAGTGGGAATCCTGCAGGAGAGAGAATACAGGTAGACACATTCATGTATTCATCAGTGGTCTCACAATAGTGCAAAAACTTCACATCTACACAACTCATCACAATAAAGAATGAAACTGCCTGCATGAAATCAGTGGTAAAGGAAAGTTTGAAGATGAATTTATGTGTCAAGGTCAAACTGCTGCACATAACAAACTGCATTGCTCTGCATATGTGACATTACATGTTTTTCACTTGAAATGAGTTTAAGTCACATATCCAAACATTGACTGTGACACGAAGACTTTGCGAGCAGAGTCTGCGAGCGTTTGACGAGGGTTAAGGTTACAAGCTTTACCCGTATGAATATAATAACGTGAGAAACACTTTGTGGTGGAGCCCCTATGGCCTTTCTTAAAGGTGCCTCGCGTGCTCAATCACAACTCACTGTTATCCCCGCAGGCTGCGTATTTTTCTAAAAACAAAGATTGCCGAAGGAGACGTCGGGAAGCCTCCACAGACCTTAATCTTGTTTTGGCCCTAAGGCTTGTTTTTCTCTCCATAAATTTGATGTTGTTTTGATGATCTCTTCTTCATGTTGTCTTGACCGACCTGCATTGGTTTAGACATGATTAGAGAGAGACTTGTCCTCAGTCCACCTTGTTTGTCCAGTGAATACATTGTGAAATACTGTGCCTCTCACAGTGTTGTGGAACAGCACCGCATTATTGTCAGTGTTATGTAGTAATAAATATACTCCTGAGGCTGTTGAATAATCAAAACAACTTTAGATCTTATTGATTTAATGCAGTTTCCCCTCAGAAAGCTACCTGATGATACTACTAAATAAGTAAAGCTCACAGTGTAGCTGCACCATGGATGTGTGAAGAGGACCAGAACTCGTACTGCGGGCAACAGACCACCCAGAGATATAGGGGAAAAAACTTTCAGTAAGACTACACAAAACCTGCAGGTTTTATGGTTTAGTTGGACCCAGAGTGTCATCATCTGTGTTAACATGCACCAAAGAAGCTAAAGAAGCACTTGGAAACTAGACTTTAAGCCTGAAAGATACTTATTCAGCAAACACTCAGTATGCACCTGAGGCAATGAGACCATGTGTTGATGGAGGCTCTAATGAAGGTAACTGCAAAACAAAGCATACGTCAAAAAAGTAAGTGCCATGCTAGATTCAGATGTTGCAGATTGCTGTGAAAAGTGCAATCTGCATCCAAATCCCATCTAAATAGTGTGATAACATGAATCACATTCTATGGCCTTAACAGCTGACAGGTCTCATGGCAAATGGATATAATAATAATAATGGATATATCACCATCGTCCAAATTTCCAGTGATGTAAATACCTGACAGCATGTGGTGGCCAAATGCCTCAATAAAACACTGTATGTGTGTCCAGTGTCCTGCAGTTTAACCAAATGTCTCCGTAATGTCTCTCAGACTGCAGGCTCGGATTGCGCATCGAATCCAGGAACTGGAAAGTCTGCCAGGCTCGCTGCCTCCGGACCTCAGGACTAAAGCCACAGTGGAGCTCAAGGCTCTGCGTCTGCTCAACTTCCAGCGTCAGGTACGCGGCAGCTGCAGCGTTTCATGTTTCACGTGACTGCATCAATGTAAATGCATAACTGCAGCAGCTCGTAGTCGAATGGAAAGAGCTCACTTTTGTTATCACTGGAAGTTCATCGGATCACCTGCCGTGTGAGTGTGTGTGGCGCTTTTATCGATAAATCCACTCTGGGCTGGCTTGCTGCTCAGGTATTCTTAGAACGGAGATGCCATTTCCACTGATTTATGTTAAAGGTACATGTACATACAGAGTTTGGACTTCTTGCTCTCAGTCAACAAAATACATTCATCCACCTAAAAATATGATTATTAATTTGTTTTCTTTAGGCTGGCTTTTATTGTTGTTTTGGTTTATCGACACTTTCAGAATTCTTAATTTCTCTTATGCAGTCGTGCTTTCCCATATGGAAAAGATGTATATAAATCTATAAATACAGGGCTCTAGACTAACTTTTTGCCATGGTTGCACTGGTGCGCCTAAAAATAAAATTTAGGCGCACCAGCACAAAATTTAGGCGTACAAGCACAAAAGTTAGGCGTACCCAAATTTTTAAACTGCATTACTTAACACCGCAGTTTTACATATTCACGTTTTTTTTGATTTGTAAATGATTAACTAACAACCTTTCAAAATGATTAACTTGACACCCCCTTTGCTGCCCAAATTAACAGCAGCTCCATCAGCCCCCATAGCAATGATTTTATCCAACCAGTTACTGCACCTGGTCCCCAAGAGCAGCAAATGCTTTCTTTGAGGCAGCATAAATTCCTAAACAAATTAAAAAAAAATACCATTTACTTATCAGATCAAGAGTTTACAATGCAGTCTTTTTCAGTTTGAGTTTCTATATTCATGTATTATTGCTATGTTTAATTTTCAATGATAAGAACATGCTAGATATGGTTAATTCAGTAACACGACGTAATATTATTAATCATATACATAGGCTACGTGACATGACATGGCTTACCTTGGGCATGGGCATGCTGGACCTCAATGTGTCCAATCAGTATATTCGCTGGTCTTCCTTTTTGCAAGATACGAGCGTACACAATGACACATTCTTTTGTGGCGATGTCTGTGTCTCCATCGATCAGGAAGGCCATGTATGTACTGTTCGCAATTTCCACTGACGTCTTTTTTTTCAGTGTGTCAGCGATTACGCCTATAAACTGGGCGCACGCAACATCATTGCTGTATGTGGGGTTTATGTCCAAGCCATTTTTCCTGTGAAGAGTTATTTCTGACTTGAACTTAGTAAACGGAACTTCTTCTTTTGCAATATTGTAGGCGATGTTAAACTTAATGATCATCTCGGCCTCCTCCGATGACCTGTTTACTCCTGCCTGCCGCTGAAAGGCAGTGGGGAGCGGGGACATTTTGGCAGAGCATTTATCGCGGCATATAATGTGTCTTCTCGATGCTGTATGCTTTTTCAGCGTTTCAATTCGAAACGTATTAGCACCAGTGACAAATGCTGTGTTGCCGGCCATGGTCTTTCCACACTCGCGACAATAAATGCAGTGCATCATATTGTCAGCTTGGCTGTATCTTAGCCAGGGAAACTGGTCAAGCCACTCGATTCGAAATCTATACATTTTCTCACTTTTACTTTCAGTGGACTCCGGCTGGGAGTCGATCGTATGTGGCTCATTTTCTGATGCCGTCTCCGGACCAGTGTTTGACAAAAACGGAGAGGTTGATGGCTCCGTGTCAGAGCGCTGGCTCAGAATTTTGGACTGATCAGGCCTTAACTTAACGAAAAAGTTATCAATTGTTCTTTTCATATTTTCTCAATACCAACTTCATACACTTCTGACCTGGGCTACTCACCCATCTCTATCTGCCCGCACTTTCAAACGTAAACACAAGTAGGTCTGCAGGAATATCTGGACCACGGCCAATCACAGAGGTCCCCGCCTCTGAGTATCTCTGATTGGTTTAGAACACGACATGGGCATAATGTGTGCCTGTTGTTGAACACACGGAGACTTTCAGGGTTGCTGAAACTTTTTTTCCGAGAAAATACTTGGTTGCACCGGTGCAACCAAGTATTTTTTATTAGTCGCACCATGGAGAAATTTGGTCGCATTTGCGACCAAATTGGTCGCACTCTAGAGCCCTGAAATATATAAACAGATATAAGATCCCTTGAAAAATTATATAATGAAACTTGTATGTTTTGGATACTTACTAAAACAATATATGAAAGTAATGAGAAAGTGGCCACTTTCATGAGTAAATCATATATGTTTTTACTATTTCTTTTCCATATGGGTTTTAATGAAGTGGACCAACCCTGTTTTTAAAGGAAGCTCATTCAATCATGCAAACGTTTAATTAGAAGTCAAATTGTTCATTTTAAGCCCTTTGATAATACAATAGTGCCTCAAGCTGCAGCTTAGCACTATTTTCAACTCATACTCAATTTGTACTTTAGAGATACAGGTGAGATTAGATCACTTTAGAGTTTGATAACCCGTTGATGAATATCCCAGCTGAGGCAGGACGTCGTGGCCTGTATGAGACGAGACACGACCCTGGAGACGGCCCTCAACTCGAAGGCTTACCGGCGCAGCAAGCGGCAGACGCTGAGGGAGGCACGCATGACCGAGAAGCTGGAGAAGCAGCAGAAGCTCGAGCAGGAAAAGAAGCGCAGGCAGAAACATCAGGTGAGTCACACCAGAGTCCATGTAACAACCCACAGTACTTATTATATCATTCATCTTATTGTTGTTCTTGTAAAAACTGCAGTGCCATGGAAATCATTAAAAGTAGTGGTGCAACGGATCAAAAATCTCACGGTTCGGATCGGATCAATTTTCAGATCAGCAAAAAAAGAAAAAAGACAAAAATTGAACATTTACTTGAAGTATTTTTTGCCTGTTAAAAACATTCATCTCTAATAGTAATATTAAAAAATAAATTATGGTTCAATATAGGGCAGTAGAGTCTTTGTATCTACCACTCAATTCAATTTTATTTATAAAGCACCAAATCACAACAACAGTCGCCTCAAGGCGCTTTATATTGTAAGGTAGACCCTACAATAATACATACCGCTCATTACATCGCACTCCGCTGTGATATAATGAGCGGTCACGGTCACGTAGCTTTCCGTTGACCTGCAGCTCCACCCATTTTTAGTTGGGCAACAGAAGATGCCTGGGACAGTTCAGCCATAACTTTAAACTTTTCCTGCTCATACATGCCTGGAACGATCTTGTCACTAAAGTGGACGCGCAACGGGATATCATAGCGTGGCTCAAGCATGTTCATCGTAGTTTAAACCCCTTGTTTTGCACAACAGAATACGGCGTCCCGTCTGCAGCTAAACACCCCAGTAGCTTCTGTAATAGCTTTAGCCCGGTCAGACTGGGCAGCAAAGGGCTGCTTAAATACTGCAAACTCCTCTGCTCCTCCACTTGGACCACTAGCGCTGACCATAGCTATCGCTTGACAGACTGACCACGCGCACCATACACATACTTTTTTTCCTTCTTTTTCGGATCACGTGCATGCCGAACCGTGGAGTGGGATCGGTTCGGATTACGGATCAACCGTGATTCGCTGCACCACTAATAAAAAGTATTCATGACAATTTTTGGTTAAAAAAACAAAACGCTACCGTCTCATTTCCTGCAGTCAAAACAAATGCAACAAAAGCAATCAGAAAACTGTCAACAGTGCGACAGCATCCAGCAGGTCCTCTGTGTGAAAGCAGGTGACAGGCTGACAGGAAGGAAAACTCATGTGGCGTCACGGTTGTGTCTGCAGTGACGGGAACAGAAACAAAAACTTGTGACTTGTTTTTCAGGAATATCTCAACAGCATCCTTCAACATGCCAAGGACTTCAAAGAGTATCACCGCTCTGTGTCCGGTAAGATGCAGAAGCTCACCAGAGCCATCGCCACCTGGCACACCAACACGGAGCGTGAGCAGAAGAAGGAGACGGAGAGAATCGAGAAGGAGAGGATGAGGAGACTCATGGTGAGGAGCGCCAAACCAAGATGAATCTTTTTGGAAGTCATGTGTTTTCATAAATGCTCAAACTAAAAGTTACGGATATACATGCTGATTATTCACTATAGTGGCTACAAGCATATCACAGCTTACAGTAAACATGTTTGCTGCCAGCAAATAAAGGATCTGGGCCTTCCTACAGCCTGCTGAGCTTGGACCAGCCTGCTGGTGCTGTTCTTATGATGCCAGTTGTTGTCACTGAGCTCAGTGTTGGCTTGACACACTTAGACATCTGTCTAAATGTTGCTCTCTGCATCTGTATAAGAAATGCCCCCAAATGCACAAAGCAGACCAAAACTGAACCTTTCAGAATTAGTATTTAATGTGGGTGATGGTCTCAGTGAGAAGCAGGATTAGACTGTCCACTCGTTTTCCGCTGTTCTCATTCTTCTCTGGTGTCTGATTATATTCCGACTCATTAAATCAGAGCTGGAGTTTGTCAGCTAAATAATAGCACACGATACAAACGTCCACAGTGGCGTGCTGCGGCTCTGCGTTCCTGTTTCGCACTTCTCAGCCCCCCACTCGGCTGCCAGCGCTGTTAGTGCTGCTGAGGCCTCATTACACGCATGACTGAAGAGAAGGGAAACTGTAGAAGTGTCTTATGATACAGACAGAGGAGGACTTTGTGACAGAGACAGTTCACAGATAAGGTCGCTGGTGTGCAAATACACAGTTTAGCCATTTAAAAGTCTGTCTATTAGTTTTTTAAAAATTATTGTTAGCATGTTTTGTAAAGGATCCATTTGTAATCATAATAATAATTAAAGATCCTAAAGGTTAAACTGGCAACTATATGAGTGCAGTGGAGTTAATTTGTAATTCCGTCCTGTTATTATAATGGATCATTTACACTTTACCGTTACAGCAGCTCTCGTCTTTAATTTGATGTCACTTTGGCTCATCCAGGCAGAAGACGAGGAAGGGTACCGAAAACTAATCGATCAAAAGAAAGACAAGCGTCTGGCCTACTTGCTGCAGCAGACGGATGAATATGTGGCCAACCTCACCACCCTGGTGTATGAACACAAAGCTGCTCAAGCTGCCAAGGAGAAGAAGAGGAGACGGAAGAGAAAGAAGGTAGGAGGACGAAGGTCAAGTGTGTGCTCTGTGCAGCACTCAGCTTCAAGCAAACATAAACACAATAAAGTGGCTGCTGCTGTTTATCCTTATGTGTAGGATATGTGGCCTGCAGTGTCATATTCAGTTCAGGGCAGTTTGTTTGCTCTTCTCTCAGTGTTCTCAAATGCTCCTGAGTAAATGACTTCACTACAACTACACTCACTGGCCACTTTGTTAAGTGCACCAGTTCAACGGTGCATTAATGCTCATGTTGCAGCGACTCGGTGTGTGCGGCCACGTAGGCCAAGACAACCTGCTGTGGTTCAAACCGAGAATTAGCTCAGGGTCAAGGACAAACGGGGATTTAAGTGCCGTTGAATGTGGCGTGGTGGTTGGTATTTCTGAAATGGTCTGGAAAAGAGAAAATATCCGGTGAGCAGCAGTTCTCTGGGTGAATGCCTTGTCGATGTCAGAGGTGAATGGCCTGACTGCTTCAGGCTGATAGGACAGAAACAGTAAGACAAGTAACCACTCACTGCATACAAGGCATGCAGAAGAGCATCTCTGTGTGGGCGACAAACCTCCAAAGCAGCACAAGACCACTGGTGTAAGCTAAGAACAGGAAGCTGAGGCTCACAGGGTCGACAACAACAGGCTGGATAAATGTTACCTGGCCCGATGCTTTTTGATTTCTGCTCTGATATTCAGACTGTAGGGTCAGAATTTGGAGTAAACACATCCTGCCGTGTATCAGCGAGTCAGGCTCCAAGTACCAACAGGATATTGTTTAACAAAAACACCCCAGCTATTGTGGCTGACCTCGTCCATCCCTTTGTGATAACGGTGTACCCGTCTTCTGAATCTGCTTCCAGCAGGATAACATGTCACAGAGCTGCCTTACAGTAGTTTCTTGAACATGAAGAGTTCACTTTATTTAGTGGTTCTTCACAGTAACCAGCGTCATGGATGTGCAGCAGCTCTGTGATGCTGTCGCACACAGTATGGACCAAACTCTGTGAGGACTGTTTCCAGCTCCTTGTTGAATTAAGCAGTTCAGACGGTAAAAAGGATCCATCCTGGTCCTAGCAATGTGTACCTAATAAAGTGTCATGTGAGTGTACAACAGGAACACAAAGAGCACCTCAGATTTCCCATTCCCTCTAACCTATTATTATTATTATCAGTGTTTTTCCAGCTTTGATATGAGTCAGTGTTTTGAAGAAAATGCCATCTGATTGGTTGATGTGTTATTTATGTAGAAGGTGGATGGCGATGGTGAAGGCACTAGCGCAATTGGACCCGATGGAGAGGTGAGTTACTGTTTATGTTAAATGTAAAAAGTGTTTTGTAATTTGATCTGCAGCTAACTTTGAGTTTACTGAACGCCACCTCATTGTTAGCACGATTCCCACTCTGCAGCTTACCTGCTCAGGACTGCAGACAGAGTCGGTGCTGAGATGTGACAGCAGTGGACATTTTTTGTGGAGACTAAAAGTGGCAATAAAATCACACGAGTCCTGCACTTATGTTCAACAGGTGGACACAAACATGAATGAGTGACAGTCGTACTGATGGATGTGTAAATAATCAGCTGTTAAAAATCAGGCACTTCTGTTTCAAAGACTTTTTCAGGGTTCACGTCCCCCCGATGTCGACAGATGTTCGCTCTTTGTCCTCTGAATGTGTTTAACTTTCAAAATTAGTAACGCTGATAATTATCCCTCTCGTGCATTTGCTGAGTCTTTTATTGTGACTGCTACAAAATCCAACCTACTCTGACAGAAAAAAGAACCAAATAAGGAGGCGAACAAACAAACAGTAATTATCCATTGAGAGGCAGACTGCACCCTGGGCGATTGTGCAACAGAGGCATGTTGTAAACAGTCCTCCGAAAGCAAAAAGACGTCTGTGCTGTTTGTTTGTTTGCAGTCGTAACGTTCCACACTTTTTAATCATGTTCCTCTGTGTGCTCCAGAAGCTCAGGCTGAACTTTGATGGCAGGTTTGGTGAAGCTCTCATTGATGTTGTTTACCTCTAAAGGCAACTTTGGAGGTCTGAAAGTTTGGTTCATGTTGGGATTTATTAGTCTCATTTTTTCCAGTGAAAATAATTTATAAAATAATAAACAAAAGCTTTTGAATTGTCTGTAGAATTTTATGTTTTATAGCTCTTGTTTAATTGGGGTTATGGAACTAATGAAAAGTGTTTTACGTTCATGATATGCAGTCATAAAAGCAGCAGAAGCTCATGTTACATCAGCGGTGGCTGATGAAAGTGAAGCTTTGTGGTTTATGGTTCTCGTTTCTAAATGGATTTGAAGATCTATATCATACTTTGATCAATATCAAAGTCCGCCGCTCATCTTAAAAACTTAACAGCTCATATCTTTTCAAAAAAAAGTTAAAAGACTAAAGTTTGAAGATGAGTTCAGATTTGTTTATGCATGCTGCTTCTTGTGTTTCCTCTGTCCTGTAGCCCATGGATGAAAGCAGCCAGATGAGTGAGCTGCCTGTCAAAGTGATTCAGACTGAGACCGGGAAAGTTTTGCAGGGAACCGAGGCCCCAAAATCCAGCCAGCTGGAGGCTTGGCTCGAGATGAACCCCGGGTGAGTTGCACAGCACTGTTGTCGGCTTCTGATCTCTTTGAAACGAAACCGTTGGACACTCCAAGATTCTGCTGGTGGCAGTCTTTGTGTGTTCGGCCACGGTGGCTCGTAATGCTCACACAGACTGCATTTTGTAACGCCAAGAACAAAACTTACCAAAATCAATTCCAAGAAAATTCTTTCAAGTCTAGAATTAAGCATTGCTATGCACATCAAGGTTTGTGAACGCGATGACTCGAGAACGAAGCAACATAGGAATTTCAGACAGATGCCAAATCTCAGATAAGCTTGGATCTTAGTGACCTTGGCCTCGAGGTCAGAGGTCGAGTTTCCTGAAAACCTGGTGTGTCTAATAACTTGAGAAGGAAGTCACCTCGGATTTTGACGTTGATACCAGTCTTGGCATCCTCGATAGAATTCATGCATTTTTATGTAGCTGGTTTCTCAGTGGAGCAATATGTAGCTATTCCACCTGACACTGTGTCCATGAAAACACATCAAACTACACTCGCTGTGTTCCCTCTGGTCACAGCACACAGAGTCCACGGCTGTATCCCAATTCAGGGTCTGCAGCCTTAACGGTCCACAGGGGCCGCGCACTCAAAGACCGCTAAGGCCGGAAGGCTTGTGAGATGGGACGGTCTAGCCTCCGTCGCGCTGCCCAGGTTGCCTAGCAACCATGATACTAACAGCTGGAAACGTGTCATACAGCTGTGTTTGACAGAAATGAAGGGGAACATATTTTGTTCATTTGTTTGTTTGTTTCTACATGAGCTTTGATCATTCTCTGTAAGATTAAGCTCAGCTATTGAACGGCGTATTTTTTAAAGTAAAGGCTTTAAAACCAAGTTAGTACAAACGTCACTAATGTCACATGACTTTGCCGACATGTGGTCAACAGGAATGTTTTCATGTTCTTCGTTATTAAACATTTGCACATAAATAAGTGACATGATATTCAATACTTACTTAAAGTTTACTCTTCGGGCGCCCCTAATCCGCCGTTTTTTTCTGCAAAATCATCCACACCCACCGCCGCGCTATGCATTCTGGGATATGTTGGGCCACGAAGTCTACACCGCCACAGCCTTAGAATTCAGGGAAATGAAGGACGCATTTGAGGACCGCATTTCGAGCAGCCTTCGAATTGGGACAGCCTTCGTCGCGTCGCTGTGACGTAATCGGCCTTAAAATGCGGCCTTTAAGGCTGCAGACCCTGGATTGGGATACAGCCCCTGTTATCACTAAAGCACCCGTCGTTTTCTCCGTAGCACCTCCAGGATTGCAGGTGTCGCTCTGTGCAGCAGAACCGTGAGCACGATCAGGTGGAAAAGATTCGTCATTGCCAAGAACACCAAGAGAAGAAAATCCAGTTTGACTTTACACAACTTTAAAACAAAAAGCAGCAGTTTCATCCTCAGTGAAATTATACTGAGCCAGAAAAATCGTTAAAATTAAAAAACACAAAAGAGCATGAGCTGCTGCAACAGGCAGACAGTTAACAAGGCAGAAAAAATACTGAAATAATAACATTAGCTAAAATGTTTTAGATTTTTAAATAATATTTAATACAACTAGGAAACGTTGAAATTCTCCTTCCACACTCTGATGATATTGATAGTCTGAATATCAATATCCCTGAATCAGCGCATCTCTTTCATAGTTAAACATGTTTATAGTGTGAATCTTTTACTCGCTCTGTTTATTTATTTATAAACTCTCTTCACTATCTGGAGAGTTGTTGCTTGTTAGATAAATTCTGCTGAAGCTCGTCATTATGTTTCTGTGACGGGCACAGATGTTTTAATGAGGCTTTGTTTTTCTGTTGCTTCTTTTGAAACAGGTATGAAGTGGCCCCGCGGTCAGACAGCGAGGAGAGCGGCTCAGAGTTTGAAGAGGAGGTAGAGGATTTTCTCATTAATAAACTTTATATTGCACAAGATCCACCAGGGGGCGCTGTACACTTTATTATCCACATCAAAGTTGCTTCTTTGTTCCACCTGTGCTGCTGTTATTTTATTAAGCACGCTCACAGTCATGTGTTATCAACTTTACCTTATAAGGAGGAAGATGAGGCGTCCAAAGGAGAGACAGAGGAGAAGAAGATAATCGATCCCAATGGAGATGGAGCCACTGAGGGTGCTGCCAAGAACATCATCGAGTATTGTATTTCCTTCTGTTATCTCCCATTTACTCGCCATGTGTTGCATTGGCTAGAAAGAAGCGTTCAGTTCACATACGCTGGAAGTTGAGGGTGTAGATTGTTTTTAACAACCTGAAACCTGATTTTCCCTGCAGGAGCCTCACAAATAAACAAACCTCTGGCTGTCTTTGTATTGAATGTGGATTTCCAGAGGAGCTCAGACAGTTATTAGTCTGAGCTCCTGGGGTCAGGCCTCAGTTAGGCGCCATTAAATTAAATTTGTAAGCTGGTTTAGTTTGAGTTAGAATACTTTCAAATGCTCTCTGTCTCAAATGATCAAACACACATGCAGGTCAGCCAAGCAGGATGTGGATGATGAGTACAGTGTTCCTACTGGCCAAACCAGCTCCCAGTCTTACTACGGCGTGGCCCACGCTGTCATTGAGAGGGTGGAGAAGCAGTCGTCACTGTTGATCAATGGGATGCTCAAACAGTACCAGGTACACACACACGTATACAACATGTCTGCTTTTGTAGAAGCTGTCTACTCATCCCTGTGCCTGAATCTACCAGAGGTCTCTTCCTGTTAACAGGGAGTTCCTTTTTCCACCATTGCCAGGTGCTCCTCGCAGGGCATCAGTGGATTGTTGAGTTTTTCACCCTAATATTGTATCTTTGAGGGAACTTTTTGGTCCAAGAAATCCAATAACATGACAAGAATTTAATAAATGAGTCAAGCAAGTCTACATTGGTCACATTTGCGAATAGATCGAGGGAACATATAGAACACTTGTTGTGAAGCTTCTGCTTTTTTCCAGCTTCGTGCCAAACAGTGTGTCAGATGTGTCCTTTATCCTAGGCTGGTCTAAAACGTCGTTCTTGCCTTTAACTGGTTCGACCTCATTTGTAAGCGCTACACTGGAACTTTGGCGTGACTGAGCAGGGCCTCCTAACTGTTCTTGGACAGCTTGTCCTGATTCTGGCTGAACAGTGTGGCCCAGTGCTGCCACCAGTAGACACGTCTAATTTGTCTTGAATGCCCTGTGAGGACTTGAGTTTCAGTTCAGTTCTACCGAGTCTGTGAAAAACATCTAAAGTGTCCAGCTGGAGCAACAGAGTAAGATGTTGAAAGTCTAATGAGATGGCAGAACGCTGCACAGAGATTTGCAGCGTCATGCAAAGATATCAACTCTTTCAGCAGCTATTTTATCTTCCATCAACAACTATGTGCAAAACAGACGTAATGTGGATTTCAGGTTAGAGAGCAATCCACCAGGAATGTCTGCTTGCATGTGGTTGAAATTGGAACTTCTTTCCAAATGAAAGTTGAGTCAGACCCTCTTTCAGCAGACCGGCTCCTTTCAAATCAGCGAGAACTGATTTGCAGAGCTAAACTTTGTCTAAATGTATGTCTGCATGTTCACACAGGAAGCCGCTCTCATCTCCCAGCCTGTCTCTAATGTGATGCGGTGCACATCCATGGGGCATTTTTAAGCACGCGTGGGATCCACCCGAGCATTTGATGTGTGATTTGAGAGGCATTAGACAAAGTCATGCAAACACTGAGCTTGCATGGGCAGTCAGCAACTTGATTGCAAACAGAAATCAATATGGCAGCTTGTTTGAGACCAAAACTAGTGCAGCAAAATGTATTTATAACAACATGGTAGCAATGAAGTATGCAGGTGCTGAATATGTTTTCATTTTAGATGAAAAAGTCCAGTCTAAGTGCTTTCAGTAGTTTCCTGGTTACATAGACAATGAATGGGAGCAAACGTTGGCTGATCTGCAGAGAAGGAACATTTTAGAGACTGTAAAGTTCTCGTATAAGTTGCAAACATTGGACCACATTGGCATCCGAGCTAATACATTTGAAAAATTCAATTAAAAGCTTTGGACACCCCCCTACATGCTGTAGCTCTCACTGCAACTCAGGAGCACCGCTGCTGTCAGCTTTAAGCAGAGTTTACACGACAGCTGAAGTAACAGACTGTCTGCATACAAACAGCTTTAGCTGTAATTGGATCTTCATTCTCCAACTTTGTGCTAGTCTAAAACAAAGGGTCAGTGGATGACAGTGTGTTTAACATGTAGTTTGATAAATGACTTCATTTGGCTTTTTACCCACAGAGGTTTTGATTGTGACTACAGTGACACGCGCTGGCGTTCCTTTATCTCCCCCTGGGTATTTGGACTTGATGAACTGCATCATTACTGTGTGTGTGTCTGTGTGTGTGCGTTTCATCAGTTTTTGTCAAGAAAACAGAGTCTTGTCATGCTTTCTGTTCTCATATATTCTAAATGCATTTTGCAGTCCATGCACGTCTATTTTTGTTGTAAATGTGAGTGAAACAGTCCAGCTGTCGAGTCTTGCAGCGCCGGCGCCAACTTCCTGCTGTGCTTTCAGTGCCACCAGTAACAGCTTCATAATCATCAAACGCTACCTTCAGCATGAAAACAGGCCACAGATGGCAAGAAAAAGTTCTTATAAATGAGTGCGATTTCATTTGATAAATGCGATGAATCCACACCTCAAATGTTAGATACGTTTTATATTATTGATTCATGTAAACAAACATCACGTTTCGTGGGAAAAAAGCCTCTCAGCCTCCTAGAGGTCCGAACTAAACTTAGTACCTTGATCAGAAAACTAAACTTCCTCTTTATTTCTCTTAACCTTTAACTTAAGCCTACATGTGGGACTAATAAAGATTTATCTTAATCTTAATCAGCAAATTAGGTGATAGTTAAAATAACAGCTCGAGCCTTAAATGTATTTATGTTCTTCAGTGCAGGTAAATTAGCCTCTGCTCTCTGTGATGATGTCCTAGTATATTTACTGAGGGCGTTGCCGCCCTCTGGACATGGAAACAAATCGGTTTCAGGTTTTCTGAATATTCCCGAGTCTGTGGGCAAAGAGCTGGTGACTGTCACAATCTTCGGTCATAGATAGAAGCTTTGTAAACAAACACATCTCCTGTTAGGCACATGAATGCGTCTTAGTCAAGCCTGTCTGCCTGTAGCGATGCAGACACCCTCATCTCGTCTTCAGCTGCAGCGTACATGACCGTGAGAGACATATTGGCAGAGATCTGGAACTGGCAGCTGGGTACAGCTAGCATTTGTTTTCTATCCAATCACGGTGCAGTCATCCTGTTTGTCTGATTTATGGTGTGCCAAATTTAAAATGAGATATGGCGCGCTGCTTGGGGAAAATTGGACATCCATTAATCGGATCAAACGTCTGCAGTGTCAGTATATATATAGCAAACCTAAATTCACAGAGACTATGCATTCAGTTGGGAATTTCTTTTCACAACCTTCATCTCTGCAATTAGCTCTGCCGCTGCATGTAGTGAAGTATTGTGCAGTTTATTGGTCACCTTTTCTGTTGCCACTGTCCTCCTGACCTTTCCTCAGACCGTCCTTCGCTGATTGTTTCCCCACAGAGTTATTTTTCTCCCAATGCTTTAGGATATAAAATGCTGTGGTGGCAGTAACATCAAGTTAGCCGGCAAAGCTCACAGTGAAAAATGTCAACTTAACTTCTTCTAAAGGTCTAAAGGTTTGCACGTTTACAAGTACAGAGGCAGAAGAAATGCCTTTAGATTCCATATGTTTGGCAGTTCTTTCTTTTAGGCTGTCACAGCTAAAGGCACAGCATGACATCATGGATATGTGTGTCTAGTTATGTTTAAAAACTTTAACACATGTATAATTTCTGCACTTTTCTGGATTTTTCTGGATTAAGTCTGACATGTCAGAAAAAGTCACTTGTCCCAGAATCCAAAATTCAATCAGTCAGCAATAAAAAAAAGGATCAAAGATGAGTTTCAGTGTAATCTTTTGTCGCTTTAATGTCTTTTTTTCTTCTTAATTCAACTTAATTTCACGGCGTATGTTTACCTGTCGCCATCTGCACCCCACCCGCAGTGGCTCTGTGCCCCGACAGCAGGCCCCGCCCCACAGTTTGAGAAATCAAGTGTGCTGCTCCACAGTGGGATGCTATAGAAACAAAGATTGCACCAACAAACGTACAGAGCTGGATGTTAGAAGACATTAGAAGGCCCGTAGTGCTACACAGACCATCCTCAACATGCAAGAAGCTTTTATGGGCTGCTTTAGCTTCATCACCTGATTGTTAGGACTGCCCTACGATAGGATAAACACAGTAGTGCAAGGATGCATTTACTTGACTTGTTGCAGGTGCCTGTGATTGCCTCCATATCTGCTTTTATTATTCACAGCAGCCAAGGAGAGCTCCATTATTCATGTTGGAATATAGATGATTGTAAACTCTGGACATTATTAATTGTATTGTCTTTTTAACATCTAGTTAGACGTGAATTTCTCCTTTTTCTTCGTCTTCACCGTTTTATCGTTTGTGTGTTTTGTGTGCACACAGAGCACGCTCATGCTTTCCTCTCTGTGTTTTAGATTCAGGGGCTCGAGTGGATGGTGTCCTTGTACAACAACAATCTCAACGGCATCTTGGCTGATGAAATGGGGCTCGGCAAAACCATCCAAACCATCGCCCTTATCACCTACCTGATGGAGCACAAGAGGCTCAATGGTCCCTTTGTCATCATCGTTCCTCTCTCGTTAGTACTTCTCTTCCAGTATCAATCGTGGCTCTTATCTCGCAATGTCATGACACCCTAAAATCTAACATTATTAGAGTCACCTTTGAAAAGAACTTCAAATGATAATCATTCGTGTGAAGGCTTTCTTTTTGTTCGTGTATTAGCAGCACTACACGTAAACTACCCTGAAGGTCCTTATGAGTGCTCCCTCACTCCCTTCCTGTCCTTTTAGCTATTTCCATCGGTGCCAGGAACCTGTTTAAAAGGCATAGGCTATATTTTATCAGCTTCAGCCTTGTTACATGGACTCAGCATCCATTTGAAAAAGCACAAACAGCTTTTCAGCATGACTGCACCTGGAATTAAGGGGCGCTGTAATAAGAAAAAAATGTGTGTTTTTATATCTTTCTAATAGATTTGTGTTCTCCACACGCCCCTGTAGACTCACAGTGAAATAGCCTGAGCAGTACGCGGGCTGTAATGGAAAGCAGGAGAGTTGGTGTTTGCGCAAGTGTCAGGTGTTCACATCCATCTCACTGTGATAAGTCCAAATTCATGCTTCGTAATTATTAGGGGCGATCGTGGCTCAAGAGTTGGGAGTTCGCCTTGTAATCGGAAGGTTGCCGGTTTGAGCCCCGGCTTGGACAGTCTCGGTCGTTGTGTCCTTGGGCAAGACACTTCACCCGTTGCCTACTGGTGGTGGTCAGAGGGCCCGGTGGCGCCAGTGTCCGGCAGCCTCGCCTCTGTCAGTGCGCCCCAGGGCGGCTGTGGCTACAATGTAGCTTACCATCACCAGTGTGTGAATGGGAGGATGACTGGATATGTAAAGCGCTTTGGGGTCCTTAGGGACTAGTAAAGCGCTATATAAATACAGGTCATTTACCATTCTAACAATATCAAGTACAGTGCATACTAAACAGGGTACGAGAATACTACTGCAGATATTTTTCACTTTGCAGTGTGGAAAGGGTCCAGCTGCTCACAGCTGCATTAAAAATGCATTGTGCACGAAGGTGCTTATTGTTATTGAAGTTAAATTGGTCTTCTTAGGCCACTTCCTGTTAGTATGAGGCGGATGGAGGCACGGACAGACACTCACACATACGTCTTTCAGGTCTCGCTTCTCTTCTGAATTGTGGAGCTGCTGGTTTGCTTTGCCTGTGATAATTGAGGCAAGGTGCAGAGAAAAGTTCAGCCAATCAAATTGCATTTATTCAGATACGTCAGTGCAGCTGCTTGGCACTCAGATTGTGTTATTGAAATAACCTGAGAGAGTACGCTAGGGACGGGTGCAGCTCGTCATTCAACATTTAAACTGCAGGAGAAATAAATCATTGCTCTGAGTAATCAGAACATCTCATGTAGCCAAAGCAGTGACGTTCATGCTAACTGCTAATGGAAGCTTGCCCTGTGGGAGAGATACCACCTGGATATGACATTACTGCTCTAGAGACTGCAGCAGGACAGAGGCATTACATCATCAATAACGTTTATGTGACCCTGCACGCCCCTCAAACCACACGGTGTTCTGGTTATGGCTTTCTTTTCTTTACTGTGCTTTCACAGTACTTTTTGGGTTTAGCACAGTCTTCGGTCCAATCAGTCAGCTTGTCACCAGCTCCCGGCGTCACTAAAAAGGGAGAGACCTGATTACGCCTGCTGCACCACCGCTCCCCTGCTGCAGAGCCAAAGACATCACCTCTGCCACAGTTTAGTTTTTTAACCTGCTAAAACAGCACAGGAGGATAATTAGCATGTCTGAGTGTGTTTTTGGCCTGAATAAAGATGCTGAATTTTAGTACAAGGCCATGTGTGCATCTCATTATAGGGTCAAAGGAGCCAAATTATTTGATGGCAGTTTTAATGATGAGTAGAGAGGCTTGTATTTATTTCATGTGTGGGGCCGCTCACACAGTCCTCACGAACACTTTATAACTGTGCAACATTAAGGCTAGAAACAACCCATAATGCATTGTTGTCCATTACAAAATAATATCTGATAATGTGAATAACTGATGACTTTACGGGGTGTGGTCGAAATAAACTGTTTTCAGAGTGTGGGAATATGTCCGATTACTGATCCAGCTTCATGAAGTGTGTGATTCCCCTCATTGTTTTTCACTTACAAACAGCAGGAAACCAGCGTGCTGTTGTTCAAGGGTGAAAATTCAAAGTGGTTTAAGGCTGATGAAAGTGTGCTCCTTGTGCAGAGTGCAGGAAAACACTCGGCTTTTTAATTGTTATTCCTTTTAATGTTGGTTTCTAACTGCAGGTGTTGGAAGATTAGAGTGAACAATGGTTGTGTTTTTAGAAGCAAGCCTATTTTTTAATGATTAATGAGCAGAGCACTTTTTCTTTCTAAGTGATGGAAGCTGAGCGGAGGCTTAATTCGCTGCTCAAGGCCACTGTGTGTAATGTGCTCTTGAATATGCATAGTGTGCAAATATGGAGTAAAGCCTAAAACTGTCTGTTTTTTAGCACACAGCAGTTTGTGCCAGTGTGCCACTGAGCAAGAGCTCATCTCGTCTCTGCTTTTGTGCATTTTCATGGTTTCTTTGGTTGTTTTTGTAAATGAAGTGTTGATGAATCTGTCGTCTTTGAAGACTCTGCCTTTACTGCTAAAAACATTCTGACCACATTTAAATGCTGTTTTCAGGACCTTGTCTAACTGGGTCTATGAGCTTGACAAATGGGCTCCGTCTGTGGTTAAGATTGCTTACAAGGTGAGACAAATCTCTGTTTTTTAGTCTAGTCTCTTTTTTCACATCACAGATGTTCAGATTTTCTGCTTTTTACGACAGAACGTTGTCTCTTCTTTGTCTCTCCACATATTAGGGCACCCCTGCTTTGCGTCGTGGGCTGGTGCCTCAGCTCCGCAGCGGGAAGTTCAACGTCTTGCTGACCACCTATGAATACATCATCAAAGACAAGCATATACTGGCTAAGGTGAAAAGGATCAAACCTCTTTCTTCTATCTGTAATCTGCTTCCTAACGTGAACCCTGTTGCAGCATCTCCATCACAAATATCCACAAAATGAGCAAAAGGAAATTATGGTGAGCTTCCATCCACCGCTGCTGCCGAAGCTCAAATCAGCAAAAAGTCTGGAAAAGCGACAGAACTGTGATTGTTGTTTGTTTCATGCAGTAATTTGAGAGATGTTTCCTCACTTTGCTTTTCATCTCTTCAGTTGAATAAGTCATGTATCGTGCATTATTCACTGACTCGCTTTTGCACTTTGTACATTTTGTTGTTTTTAATGAACAAACTTTTCATCTTCAGCTAAAATTCAGATTTTTGTTTTTCTCACTCGAGGCTTTTTAAAGGTTAAATATGTGCATCTGGCAGTAATTGTATTTTATTAACATAAAAGTTTTGCAATAACACCAAGTTTTATTACTTGTGATGAACAAACCTGACTCCTGTGTGAAATGTAACTAGAACACAGGGATGTGCAAATCTTACAAAACTGTATTTTATTCACAACAAAACACAGAAAACACATCAAATGTTTAAACAGAGTGAAATAATTGTTCATTTTGTATCTGATGGCAGCAATATGTCTCCAAAACAACAGTTTGCCACTGTGCAGCATCCTCTCTTATTTTAACATCAGCCCACATCATCAAACATCTGGAGCTGAGGAGCACAGCAGCTGGAGGAAAGCTTCCGGCCTTTTGTTGCTCCCACTCGGACTGTTTTTCAGATGTTGCTGCCATCAAAATCAAAATGAGCCAATGTTTCACCTAAAATTGTGCATTTGTTCAGTTGAAACACGTAATATGTTTTCTCTGTTCTGTTGTGAGTAAAATATGAGATCTGCAATCAGTGAATTCTGTTTTATTGACATTTTACAGCTTTTTTGTGCTCATAATACACATTATATGACAGGGGGCACAAAGATTTCATCAGGTCAGATGAGAACGTGTGTCATAAACACGCTAAATAAAAGGCGGAGTCAGAAGCTTGTTTGTATTTAGAATTATTCTGCAGCCTGACGGTCGTCAAAGTGCAAAATCAAAATCCTGCAGTGACGACTGAGACACAAACTGAAATATTTAAAATGCTAATTTGCACTCGGGTTCTGTTTTGTGTCTCCTACAGATTCGCTGGAAGTACATGATCGTTGACGAGGGTCACCGCATGAAGAACCACCACTGTAAACTGACACAGGTGCTGAACACGCACTACGTGGCCCCCCGTCGGCTGCTCCTCACCGGGACTCCTCTGCAGAACAAGCTGCCCGAGCTGTGGGCCCTGCTCAACTTCCTGCTGCCCACCATCTTCAAGTGCTGCAGCACCTTCGAGCAGTGGTTTAACGCACCCTTCGCCATGACAGGAGAGAGGGTAGGTGCCAGGAGAACTACCAGTGTTTTAGTTTTAAGCTAACACTGGCTGATGCTGAAGTCTGGGTTTTGCAAATCAAGTTAATAATTAGTTTTAACCTTCGTAGATCAAATAATAATACATAATGCATTTTGTGTTGTCATGTAGTATAAATTTACAAAGGAGATATCAGAAAGAGACGAATCATTTCTGAAAGCTCTGTGATTATAGAGACTGAAGAAGTTTTACAGTTTGGCTGCTGTCGTGATCTCACTCAGGGCAGGAACCATCAGAAGGAACCTCGGGCACATAAATGGTTAATAAGTCCTTCATGTCATTTGGATCAAGGCCACTTAAAACTTTTAAAGTGATAAGTACAGACATTATCATTCATTATCAGAAAATGCCAAAGCTTCTGTGTAAAAACTGAAATCCTTTTAAAAACTGTATTTTCAGCCTTTTCTTCCTGCAATGGGCTGATTTTTACTGAACACAGAAATACTTCCCATTTAAAGCTGTTAAATGGAGCTGCTTCCATCTGTTCCCCTCAGCTCACTGCTTTTCTTTGCAGCAGTCACATGTTTCATTACTCCTGGCAAGGAAGCAAAGGGAGGTCATTTATATCTAAAATTTAACACGGCTTATTTAAATGCATAAGGGAGAATGTTTTTATACCCACTGCATTAAGACTCTGGAAGTGTTCTGGATGTAATTCTGAGTATCCACGGGGAATTTTATTTCCTGCCCCTGGAAAGTTCAGTGAGTCTCATTTAGAAGTCTCTACATTTAGAAGCGGTTTCGACTGCTTTCGATGCTTCTGTACCGTCTTCCAGAGCGCAGTAGGCTGAACGAGCGGTAGCCAGCATGGAAGTGGTCTCTGATATCTGTCTGTGCTCAGTTTGCAGTTTCAGCAGTCATGGGACTGCGGTTTGGACAAAGGTCCCGGTTCAATGCTAGGAGAGGACACAGCCCTTTGGGGTCGTGTCATATCAAACATGTGGACACCTTTCATGTGGGAGTAGGCAAAACTTTCAAATCCCCCGTAGCAGTGCCCGCTCCCACCAAGTTCAACGTTTCATCTTTAGATTACATACAGCTCGTCTCATATTACTTTTCTAGATGCATATAATTAAAAGTTATAGATGATTTCTAAGCTGAAAAATAAGTTTTGGTTTTACTAAAGGGAACCTGTTCTGCTCATTTCCAGCTGTACAAGCGTTGCATGATTTAGGAAAAGAATATTTAAAAGCGTATTTTTGCTTTCTTGCATTAGTAGTAGCTGTTTTAGTTCATGAAAAACAATTTGGTGCCCTGGGTGCAACAGAAGCACCGTGGCCAAACATAACAATTTTTAATTAAAAAGGCACCCTTAAGGAAAAAGTGGATTCAGGCACGCTTCTTATCATCAATTAGTTTTTAAGTGATGTGTAATAATGGCAGCAGAGTGAGTCAGTGGTTGGAAACAGGCCGGACCCTTCTGTCTGGAATTTGCATGTTCTTTGTGTGCCAGCATGGGTTTCTTCCAGGAGCTCTCGTTTAATAATAACAACCTTAGTTGGCCAAGGAAACACATGCAAAAGAGCTTCTTTCTCTTAAGAGTTTTACTTCTGGGTTAAATGACGGTTTAGCTTAAAGCAGCATGTCGGCAGGTAGGAATCTCGTCACTCTGCATGAAACAAACAGCTGCGAGGCGTCGTCTCTCACTCTTTCTGACGTGTTCAGGTTGACTTAAACGAGGAGGAAACCATCTTGATCATCCGGCGTCTGCACAAAGTGCTCCGCCCGTTTCTCCTGCGCAGGCTGAAGAAAGAGGTGGAGTCTCAGCTGCCAGAGAAGGTGAGGTTAACACGACTGAATGCTGATTTAGGACGCTGCAGAGTTCTCAGTGCACCAAACCTGCACTGCTGTTTGTATGTAATGCATGTGTAAGTCGCTCCTATTGAGCTGATTTCAAGGTTACATGCAGCTGTTTTTACACTTTGAGGAACGGGATAGTCTTTGCTGACCTTGGATGCAACATTCCTGCTTTCCAAAGTAATTGAAGCTGCAGGTTTGTAAGTACTGCATCGAGCTCCTGGCCACACTGTGCCGGAGGGGTTTCAGAAAGTAATTGAAGAAAAGGAGATAAAGTAGTCTGTGTGACCTAAACACATTGTTATCAACTTCTACGGTTGCATTGCTTAACTGTTGTGACCCAGAGCCAGACACCTTAACTGATGACAGGAAATTATCCGTAGCCTTCTTCTGACCATTCATAGTTATTAAAAAGAATGAAAGATTTTGAAGGAGATGACTTTCTAAGCTGAAGCACAACCTCACAGCTCGTTCTTTGGTATTATTCTTTACGCCTTTATTTTCATTCTCATTAGTGTATTTTGTCAGTGCTGAGCTGACTGATGGGGATTGTGGATTTGGCTCAAACAGCCTCACTATTGAAAAGACACCACTGTGCCGCTGGAGTTTCATTTAATTATTTATGTTGTCGTTCACAGGTGGAGTATGTCATAAAGTGTGACATGTCTGCCATACAGAAGGTTCTGTACCGCCACATGCAGAAAGGCATCCTCCTCACTGACGGCTCAGAGAAAGACAAGAAGGTAGATCATCAGCTCCTCGGTGGCTCCGCTGTGTCGCTTTGTTCTGTCTGTGTGTGTCGACAAAGCCTTTGGGAAGAGTCTGCAGTGATTTGCCTGCTGTTTGACATTAGAAGGACCTTGAACTTTCTTTGAGTGCACATTTTCTATGTTTGCATAATTTAATTGGATATTATAAATTTAATTTGACTCCTGAAGCTACATTTTAATTTCCAGCTTTAGTTTAATTTCTTTTAACCAAAGCACTCGTGGGAATATTCTGCCGATGATCTGCGTTCAAAACAAACTAGTCAGTGTTACCTACGTCCAAGACGTTGTAAAGAAGTTTTTCAATGTGCTGTCCATGGATGCGTCACGATTGTGCTCATCAATATGACCATGTAAAGGGGGGAAGAGCCCCTCTGAGAATCGCTGCCTTATCGTGGTGGAGGGTTTGTGTGTCCCAGGGATCCCAGGAGCTTTGTTGTCCGGGGGCTTCTACCCCCTGGCAGGGTCTCCCATGGCAAGTTGGTCCTGGGTGAGAGACCAGACAAAGGGCGATTCAGAAGCCCAATCAAGGGAACAGTTCATCCTGCCTGGGATGGGGTTACCGGGGCCCCGCCCTGGAGCCAGGCCCAGGGAGGGTGTCCGAGGGTGAGCGTCTGGTGGCTGGGCCTTAGTCCATGGGGCCCGGCCGGGCACAGCCCGAAAAGGGACATGGGTCCATTCTCCTGATGGCCCACCACCCGCAGGAGGTACGTTAGGGGTCGGGTGCAACTGGGACAAGAAATGCCTCCTGAATCTGAATCTCCTTTTGACTTTATTGAGCTTCGTGACAGATTTTCATCTTCTTTTATTAACTGAAAAAGCTCTAACAGCCCAGTGCACGCTGACTGTCCCCACTTATTTTAGAAGCTGAGGAAATCCTTCCTTCATGAGTTGGTAAAGACCAAACACAGAGTTCTGACGGAGTCGGCACCGCTCTGCTCCTCAGGAGGCTGCAAACACAGCTCCAAATCAATCAGAACGTGGTTCCTTAAACAAATGTTGGATCGGTCAAAACTTCGTTCACACCTTGTTTTCACTTCCCACAAGTTTTTAAAAAATAGTTAATAATTAAAATAAGGTCTTGTAGGTGATTAGTAGCATCAGCATATCCAGACTGTTTGGGTCTTTTTTACTCATTTTATCTCTCATACATTTCTGCAGGGCAAAGGTGGAGCAAAGACCTTAATGAACACCATCATGCAGCTGAAGAAGATCTGCAACCACCCGTACATGTTCCAGCACATTGAAGTGAGTGTGGGATTGTTTGCTAGAGTATTTTATGTTGATTTCAAACTGTTGCACATTTACTGGATTGTGATATTTAGGTTTCAGCTCAGAGAAGCAGATCATTGATCACATCTGTGTCCCCCTGGTTTTTACCGCTGTTCCAAGTGAGCTGTTTCACGGTGGCTTTAGAGGGGAGTCTAGGATTCACCGTACCTCAAACACCAGCATTAAACACCTGGTCCTGTTACATTTGCTACAAATTGGTTGTTTCCAAAGTTCCTAAGTGTTGGCTTGTGATGGCAGTTAACGGCAACATCAGCCATATTTGTTCCACGCCGAGCTGATTCATGTTGTTGGGACATTGCCTTTAAAAGTAAAAGTAGTTCCTCAGATGCCAGGAGAGCATTAAGCGTCTCGTCTTTGCTCTCGCAGGGAGTAATAGAACATATGGCTTGCGGTGTTTGCAGAAATTGATCAGGCTGGTAGACTTTGAGGCTGACGCTCATTTGAGCCCATCTGTTTGGATGCTGGGGCGGTTCTCAGATGAAACATCACAAGAGGCTGAAAACCTTAAAGGCTCATTCAAACAGACTCTCTGTAACTGCTTCAGTCTCATGATTGAAGTCTTGATAGAGTCATGTAAATGTGATCAAACAGTAAGGTTTTCATTGATGTTTAGTTCTTGTGTTTGTTAATGTTCTCAGGACCCCACACAGAAACAGAACTGATAGATCAGCTGGTTAAAACCTGCCTGTTGTTGCAAATCTTGTGACATGTTCACAAGAAGTCATATATTTGCCGTTTATAGGACTTATTTTAATTGTCTGTGTTGCTTTGACTAGTTGATGTTCTCCATTGCAGGAATCCTTTGCTGAGCACTTGGGCTATCCGAACGGCATCATCAGTGGGTAAGTCGTACGATCAAACACCTCGTGTCCTTCACTGTTGCACTGTTACTGTTATGAAAACATAATAATACAGTGGCCAATCGATCTGTTTTGTGCTTTGAAAAACACATTTGATTTAAGGCAGTGCTGTAGATGCTCGTGCATGGGCTGAGTAAATAAGTAAAATAAAGATTTAACAGTGATTTAAGCTCATATTGATGCTCAGACATCGTTAAGCACTTAACTGCTATATTTAGTTCTGCAGAGATTCAGGATTTCCTGCCATGAACGTTTGCTTTTAATTTCATCTTTATTAATGATAAAAAATCCACACATGAAAGTGAATGATTAATATTGTTTACGTCAGTTTACATGAGTGCAGTGATAGAGCTCGTCAGTTTGTGTATAATCATTTAACTGCTAATTCAGGATGACGAGGTTTCACATGCAAGAAGCCAACCTGTCAGATAATTGCTGCATCTCTGCTGTGCTTGGCACTAATTGGCACCAGATAGCAATTATTCACAGCGGCAGTTCACCTCAAACCCCTCGTGTGAGAATGGGTCCACGTTTAGATCACAGATTGCAGCTTTGCTTTGGAACATGCCAGAAACAGCCTGCTGTGTTGCAGGAACAGGACACGTGAACCCGACGTGAAAGACAGCGCCGATTTCATGGAAGGGGTATGCAGCGCGCTGGAGCGAGAGTCAAAGTTTGAAGTGTTAAGCTCGCCGCCTAATGCTGCTTCAGGCACGAGGATCTCTAAACCTCAGAACAGGCTTTTCCCCGCAGCACGGCGTGCAATAAATGCTCACAAAGGAAATTGCGGCCGTTTCAACTTATGTAGCGCTCGACTCCAGGTACACGACGCCCAGCTGAAAACAAGTCGAGCTGCCTGAGATTCACAGAATTTACAGAAAATGTAAAACTTTTGTGATTTATATCGTTGTCTGGACGATAAATGTCTTATATGGGAATATGAGATGTTGGTCATATCGCACAGCGATAATTTTGCAGGATTTTCACTACAAAACATTCCAGTAAAACAGGCGTGCTTTTGTCCCATTTTTGTGGAGACAGTGAAGGTTCCACGGCGTGCAAAGAAGAGCGTAAAGTCTGAAAAGGTTAAAGCTCGAGAAGCTCTCATCGTAAATTGAAACCTTATTATTTGCAGCCTTCGTCACGCTCGTTATAAAACATATTACTGACGTTGTTTTAAATAGCATAGGTGTCACCAGTGATTCACCTCAACATACCTGAATGGGGGGTGTCCAGTGGAGTATCACCTTATTTGCTACATGAACTGGGAACGTTCACTTTAGGTGAGGTGTTAAAGTTTTGCTCCGCTTCGGTATCTTGAACTAAAAATAGTTCACGATAAACAGAAAAGTCTTTTAGTTTAAAAAAAAGTATGATTCAAGGCAAAGAGAAAATAAAACATTATAGAAGCTACTTAATAAAAGATGAATCGTGCACATAAAACATGATGAATAATAAAAACCACTGTAGAAACTCATTTATTGAGAAGTCCTTGTTCATATCTGCTGTAAGCAGCAGCAAGCTTTTAAAAATGTGAACAGAATTAACATCAGCGCCTGTGTGTTTGGGTTTAACTGATGTGTGTCATTGAAGTGCATTTCTCTTCATGGAGCTCCTGTGGTCAGTGACACGCTCATTAACAGAGCAGGATGTTTCAGTGACATACAGCAGGGAAAATAAGGATCGAACATGTCACCAATTTCCTGAGTAAATATATTTCTAAAGCTGCTTTTGAATCCACACGTGTGAAGAAATCAAACCATGGACAGAGACAGAGTTTTTAACAACACAGTCTTGGTAATATATTGAAAGAAATCCAGCTGTTTATTCTCATATTACCCATTGGAGCTGTTTAATAAACAAATCACGCTGAAGAAACAGAAAAATTAAAGTAGCTTCAAGTTCCAGGAGACAGAGGACAGATTAAAAAGCTCAGATAATGTGTGGATGTTTCATAATGTTCTTCAAAGCTTTAGTGAACATGTTTTCACAGAGATGATGCAAAAGCCCAGAGCTGCCTCAGCTGTTGTTCAGACTCTGAGTCAGGCTTTCATTGGCCAATTTGAAACCATTCACTGCTGTCACACTAGATGCCACGCAGGCTTTAAAAGTCTATTAATAAAAGTTTATGATCCATTTCTTGTTTTTACTATCTGCACTCAGGCCTGATCTGTATAGAGCATCTGGGAAGTTTGAGCTCCTCGATCGCATCCTACCGAAGCTCCAGGCCACCAACCACAGAGTGCTGCTGTTCTGCCAGATGACCACTCTCATGACAATCATGGAGGACTATTTCGGATACCGCAACTTTCAGTACTTGCGTCTTGATGGTGAGCTCACACACATAATCTGTTTGAGGTGTCCTGAGCTGAGCCTGTGAATCAGGACAAAGGCAGAATCAGCATATTTTAAAGTCCTGAAAGAAGCTGAATGGAAACAGAATCAGATCCTGTCTTTGTTTTGTTGATATGCAGTGAGGGGATTAATGTTGTAGTATCTTTACCTGAGACAGTAAAGCACCTTGTGGTGAGTGCTAGAGCTGCTGGATTATTGCACTGCTCAAGAAAATGAAAGGAACCGTGGAAGTCACACATGGGACTCAATGCACGAATACTCGAGCTGAAAATCTGTACGGATGTTCTTTGTGTCTAATTTACTGAGAACAAAGTGATCGACTTGATTCAAAATCACACCAAATGTCAGAGTTAAAAGCTGAAATCTCAGGCTGATCAAAGTTGCTCCCACATGCCTGGACGCACTCTCGACAACATCTGGACGGACAACCGATGAGACGGCATGTGGTGTCCTGGGGCATTAGTGAGCCACTGGGTAAACTCTGGTGCTGTTTGGTGGGTTCAGATTCACTGATAGATCCCAAAGGTTCTCGAGTCACGTCCTCGTTTCCCACTGGAGTCTATTCCTTATCAGTCCTCACTGGGTTCTCACTGGTTCTGCTTTGAGTCACCACCATCACTAGCAGCATATCAAAAACATAACACTTAAATGCTGTGGATCAAATGTTTGTGCATGTTTGAGGTTTTCCCCTCTTTGATGTGATCAGTGTTGGGGCCATCGTTAAAAAAAGTAACTGTTGCACATATTGCACGGAACATTTTCTTAAAAGTAATGCAGTACATTACTGAATTTGTTACATTACTTTTGTGTTTCTTCTTAAAATGACATGAAACATCGTCTCATAATTACCATTTAACCATCTAGACCTATAGGTTACTGTCATACACACCAACACAATGAACGATTTTTCTCTTCGTATTTAGGTATGAACACAAACCAAAGATGGAAACCATTATAGAAAGACTTCAAAGTGATCGTCATGGTGATTCTACTTTAGAAACATGAACAGATAGAAACACAGGCTTTAGCCTGACGGCTCATCAGTTTGTTACCTGTTGAAGTTCAGGGTCTGGCTGGGAGCTGGAGTCAGCACTCTCTCTCAGCTTTAAGATCACTCTGGGGTCTTGGCTAGCTTAGCGTTAGCATGCTATCTGTGCAGGTGCTAGCAAAGAGCTGAAGTTGTGTTAGCAGCATGATGCAGTTGTTTCTGTCCTGGATGCAGTTTCCACTTAAATATCATGCTTCTGTCCTTTTGTGGAATAAGAGAGTAAGGTCTATACAGTGCAGAGTGAGCCACCATTTTCCTTCTCCTGTACACGAACTAGATTGAGCTGATTGTAGCACAGTAAGCGAAATCGATAGGCAAACAGATTAACAACTCCAAGGAATCAAACTTACCGGGAACTGCTTCTCTACAAGAACCGGTTGTTGATGCTCATCCCCTGGCAGGGTACCAGTGCCTGCATATGGAGGTCTAAATAACCCTCCAAAAACTTCCTCCCCAAATCACCACTGACCCACTGCCCTTCATGCTGGATGAAGGTCACGCCACGGCGTCCCCAGACTCTTTGACATCTGTCACAGGCTCAGTTTTGCATCTGTGGAGAGAATGGGGTGCTTTGCCAGACCTGCCAGTTCTCATGATGATCTCAGGTCAAATGAGTTGATCCACACAGTGCTGTCTGTGAGCACATGTCCCACTAAAGGACACTAGAGCCCCATGCCAACCTCATGAAGTTGGTTTCTGGCGGTTTGGTCCGATATGTGCATGAGTAGCGTGCTGGAGGTCACTTTGTATTGTTAGCTTGCTCTTCCTGTTTGTGTTCACACAAAGGAGCAGATACCAGTCCTGTTGCTGGGTTGATGTCCTGGTGTCTTTTCCACATTCTTCAGAATGTACTGGGAAGCACCAAAAAAACCTTCTTATAACGGCACATATCGATTTGCCACTCTTGGCGCAGTTGGACGGCCTGTGGGACTTAATTGGGCTGCGGTTATCTCACGCTACCAGCAGTGGAGAAAACAGGCAAAAAGCAGCATAGAGAAAAAAATAATTCAAGGAATAAGGAGAGGGCAGCGATCTGTGGCCACCACCTGCTAAACCATCCTCTGTTTGGGGGTCTTGTTGTTACCTGCTGTCACTGCGATTTACAACAAAGCATGAAAATCGATTCTTGATGGTTGATGCAGGATGATGTCAATGAGGTTTGCTGTTACACTGTGATGTGTTTTTGAGTCGTGGATTTTGAGCAACACTGAAATTATTAGAAGAACACTTGACTTAACTTAAAAAATGGCTTTTGAATTAAATGTGAACCAAACTAACGGTCACGGGCAGCATGTTTAGAAAGGCCAACAGTAAATGAAACACAGCGCATTAGTCACAGTATATTTGTGGGCATTGAGCCCTTTAAATACATTATATGGTGTTTAAAGGACAACTTTCCTGCCTCTGCCATTAGGACTATTTTAATTTGTTGTAACTCAACAACAGCCAGATCCCCGCACGTGCCATCGCAAACAAAAGACGGGTTATTAGCCGCTGGGTCTGGCAGCAGAGACCCGAATCCACTGAGGAGCTGTCATTGATTGATTGATTGATAGATTTTTCCCCCGGGACTCATACTGAAACACAATAGGACGTTTAACTCGATAGCGTATCAGTCTTGATTTTAGCCTTACTGCAGATTTGTTTTTCCCAGCAGTGGAAACAAAAAGCGTTTCATCAAAAACATCACAAACGGAAAGACTGTCACAGTTGGGCCAATTAAAAAAATAGAAGTTCAATACTTTTGTCTTACTTTGTTAGATATAAAAGCACATTACACACTCCTGTGCTAAAGAACACAGTGCAGCCGGTCCTGCTTCACACCAGCTTGCAGTGACTCTGTCTTCGTCTTTTTATGCCTCCATGCTGCTTGGCTGTCCATCTGTCTCGGTGTTTGAGGTCCGTCCTCCTCACTCTGATGAAAGCACCACTCTTGCATACTTTGAGGGAAATTCTTGAAATTTAGAAAGTGTTAATTTGCATTAAAAGGAAAGGTCTGTGTTGCAGTGACTTCATGATGTCCTGCAGAAACACTTGGCTGTTATTTAAAGCAATAACCAGAATGAATCTATGGATAGCCCTTCCACTTCCCATTTATGCCCATAAGCCACCAACGGCCTCAGTGAGCTGGAACTAAACAAGCTGTTATAAGGTCAAACCACATATATAAGATACGTTTGGTCAGACGTGGATGTGAAAGGCGGTAAATCACTGATGTGATTTTTGTCTTGGCGTTTTGTGGTGAAGAGTTCTCATCAAATCATTAACAGTTTCAGTCTGCAGTTTGAAGCAGTACATCATTTTGATGCTCAGCATTTCCACTGTCTGCACAGTACAGCAAACTAAATGAAGATGTAAGCCCCTTACTCTGGACCCGTCTCTGGACTTGCCCTTTAGAGACGCCTCTGAAACAGTTTGATTGGTCTGAGATGAGGAGCAGTTTACACACGCTGGAGCAAACCAACAGGAAGAACTTCATGCAGACTTCAAACAAAGTGATGATGTTTCTTATGATGCAAACGGTTAAAAGACCTACACCATGTAGGTCTTTTAACCTTTTGTTTCTAGCCTACATCAGCAGAAACAGAACATATTAAAGGATCCCTGTTAGGAGTTAATTCCGTACCACAGATGACAGCGACATAGTTCAGTTCAGGTGATCGGACCCTTCATTATACTAAACCATAACAGGCCTGTTAATGCAGTTATGTTATTTGCCTGTGGTGTGTCACACTCTTTGAAGTTATGTGCATCTCTTTCATACACTCTCCGTTTCTCTTGAATGTCTGTTCAGCCTCATTTTGCTTTTAGAAAATGGATTATTATTCATTGTCTCACTTCCTTTTGATGTTTCTGCATTGCTGTGTGTATTTGGTTACTTTGTTTTAGGGCTGCTCAATTAATCGAATTTTAATCACGATTACGATCTGGGCTTTCAACGATCATTAAAAATGACTGAGCCGATGGTTAGCACCTTCCTTGTGCTTTACTCTCGCGCTGCTCCGTGCGGCAAATCGAGCGCACCGCTCTGCGTTTCGAACACGCGTCACAACAATAAGAGGACCCGAGGGAAGCTCGGAAAGCTAAGCAGAAGTTATTTGGAGAGGAGAGTGACTGCCGTTGGTTGAAAAGAGGTAAAAAAACTTCAGTGGTGTGGAAACATTATGGTTCACGGAGTCAGACGTGGATCAAGTAGACACAGTGTGTAAACTTTGCTACGGTGTCGTAGCTGCACCACAGAGCAACACTGCAAAGTTCACTAAACATAGATGTTTACATTTTTCATTTATTTCTTATATTGCAAACATTTGCACTGTTATCAGTATTTGCACTATTTTATATTATTTTTTGACAATCTTGAAAGTCATTATTCAATACATTGTTATTGTTAAATAAATATCGTCAAATAATCGAGATCTCAATTTCAGTGAAAATAATCGTGATTATCATTTTTGCCATAATCGAGCAGCCCTACTTTGTTTTATGTCTTTAATGCATCTAAGGATTCATTTGATAATTAATTGTATGAGATAGTAAAATAAAAATTCAAAGAATAAAAACAGATTTCGTGTTTCAGGAACCACCAAGTCCGAGGACCGAGCAGCACTGCTGAAGAAATTCAATGAGGAAGGCTCTCAGTACTTCATCTTCCTCCTGAGTACCAGAGCTGGCGGCCTCGGCCTCAACCTGCAGGCTGCTGACACTGTGGTCATCTTTGACAGTGACTGGAACCCTCACCAGGTCCATGACTACAGAGTTTGAAGTGCTCAGTATGATGTTGATCATATTTCAGGTTGTATGTCTGTGAAGGTTCTCAGTCATCCAGGTCATCATAGTCAAAGGAGCTTGCAAAGAAAAGCGTCTGGACTTCTTTAAGTTGCTTGAAGACGTTTTACCTCTCATCCGAGAAGCTTCTTCAGTTCTAAGGTCAAATGGTGGAGAGTCCCAGATATAAACCTAGTGGGAATAACCCCCCACAGAGGGACAAAAGGACCCCTGATGATCCTCTAATCTCCTGAGCCAAGGTGTGAAACTGGGTGTGGGTCCCAATCAGCCAGAGTTTCGGGTGTGATGAGAGGTGAAACGTCTTCAAGCAACTTAAAGAAGTCCAGACACTTTTCTTTGCAAGCTCCTTTGACCATATTTCAGGTTGTTTTGTTAAGTGTGCGTTTACCTGGATTTTATATTTCTGTGTTGTGTTGTAAAAAGATGGCTGTGCCTGTTTTCTATACAAATCCCACAGAGATCAGGTTCTTTCTCCGCTGTACCCACTGCTGCCCTCTAACCAGCCAATCAAAAGCAGGAACGTCAGTGAAAGCGTCCCTGGCCGTCAGCCAATCGTTTACAATCTAACAACGAACAAAATGATTCTGTAGCCTAGCAACAATAACAGCAACAATCTGGAAATGAGCTCACGGGCACTCGGTGGAAGAAACAAGCTCTATTATAAGAACCATACATACAATCCTGTGCAGAAGTTTGAGGCAGGTGAGAAAAATGCTGTAAACAAAGAACGCTGCTTTTTTTTAAAGGAAGTGTTAATCATTTATTTTCATCAATGAACAAAATGCAGTGAAATCTAAATCACATCAGTCTTTGGCGGGACCGCCCTTTGCCTTCTTCTACGTACACGTGCACACAGGTTTTGAAGGAACTCAGCTGGTCGGTTGTTCCACCCACAGATGGTCCTCACATCCTGTCTCTTTATGTAACCCCAGATGCTCTGTGGGGGCCGTACCATCGCTCCCAGTACTTCTTGATCTTCTTTATGCTGAAGATAGTTCTTAATGACTTTGGCTGTATACTTGGGCTCGTTGTCCTGCTGCAGAACACATTTGGGGCCAATAAACAATCATTTATATTTCTGAAAGCGTTCTTTGTTTACAGCGTTTTTCACACCTGCCTAAAACCTTTGCACAGTGCTGTATGTTGAAGCAAACACATGAAAAAGACGCCATAATACAGTAACTGGAACAAAGAGTTCATCTTCATTTTCAAGTAGCTCTTTTTTTCCAGCTTTAGCTTGTCCAGCGCCAGCCGGGAGTTTATTAAACCTCAAATTTACAAAAAGTCAAATAATTAAGTGACTAAAATATTAAATAAATTATTTCCCTTTGCTTTCTGGCTCCAAAGGTTTCCAGTGATATGCAAATCAGATGAACTGTGCCTGGCTTCATATCTTATTGATACCCCACTACATTGATTTGTGACAGGGTTGACAACTAATCCATTTTGACTTTGGCGAGAATCATTGATTAATTTTTAAAATGGCATCGGGTTGTGAAGCAGCCCGCAGCTTGACTCCAGATGAATTTCACAGAGTGGACCGTGGGAGGCGATGGCTTTGGTATCGCGTCAGGTGCTACTGTTGAGTTTTTCCGGTGTTTTCAGGAGAGTTGGTACAGTTGGAACAGAGACGGTGCTGTTAGCCTGGCTGTCGGGCTGACAGTCATTCGTGTTGTCTCAGTGGTTCAGTAGAGTTTTTTCCAGCTTTAATGTAAAACAGCCTCCTTTATGTTGATGCAGGACCTTCAGGCTCAGGACCGGGCTCACCGCATCGGCCAGCAGAACGAGGTGCGCGTGCTTCGTCTCTGCACTGTCAACAGCGTCGAAGAGAAAATCTTGGCTGCTGCCAAATACAAACTGAACGTTGATCAGAAGGTCATCCAGGCCGGCATGTTTGACCAGAAGTCGTCGGGCCACGAGCGCCGCGTCTTTCTCCAGGCCATCTTGGAGCACGAGGAGCAGAACGAGGTAGGATCGTATTTCCATATGTTGTTGTTTGCCTCCAAGACAGCATCGTTTGGGGAAGAAGATGAGGTGTTATATTTTTTACATGACTCTTCCCTGAACATTTGGTCTTCAGTTAAATTATGCTTTGGTTTAATAGAACTACTGCCGGCTCGGATGATTCCTTTGATACGAGTTATTCATCCTTTTAATATTCCAGCACAGTTGCACCGTGCAACCGTGGCAAAAAGTTAGTCTAGAGCCCTGTTCCAGGGTTTAGTAATCGCTTTAGTTTCATTTTCTGTGGCGGCTGATTAAAATTTGTAAACCATACTTGATTTGAGCTGAACGTGAGATGATTGTGTTTCACTTGTGAAGAACACTGTCTGCTAACACCTGCCTCCTTTGCTATTTTAGGAGGAAGATGAGGTGCCTGATGATGAAACTCTGAACCAGATGATAGCCCGCAATGAGGATGAATTTGAGCTCTTCATGGTAAGATAATGACACATCATTGCGAGATTGAAAGTAAAATTGCCATTTCAATGTAAAATTGTTGAAATGACAGGTGTTACAATATTAATTCACCCAAAATAGAGAAGCTGGTTCTTTCACATCTGTAAGACAAATTGATTATAGGTTCATGTCAAGGCTGTTTGTGTGGTTAAATGTCACCTGTACTGAGGCCCGTCCCCTGCCAGATGCTGCCTTTTGCACGATAAATTAATTTAAGACCAGTTGATGCGGGGAGTGTGAATCTGGGGTGATTCAGAGGACACCCCATAGCAGTTTCACTCTTTGCTACTCATCATGGTCCTCTGTGTTGGCTCAGCGTATCACTAAGATCACATTTCTAATGTTTCTTTTTTTTTTTTAGATTCTCACCACATAAGCTCGGCCTCCTGCGATTTTCATTGGTCTCTTAACTCTTCCTAGAAGCGAGTCGAGCCACTGAGCAGCCATCTGTTTGTAAAACTTGTTATTACAGCGGGCACCAAGACAAAGACCTTCAGATAGATTCCACAGTTTAATCTGCACAAGAAAGCTGCTCTGTTTTGGTGACTGTAATCTAAGTGAAATGTAAAAATACCTTCTTCTCTCGACTTCTGCAAACTCTCATAACACAACATTACTTCCTGGCAGCTCTAAAAACTCCCTAAAAGCCTCCAGCTGATCCAAAATGCTGCAGTGAAGCTATGAATAAGGACTAAGGCTGTTTTTTCCATATTAGCCTCTCATTCAGTCGAGGGCTGGGCGACATGAAGACAATCTAATATCGCGATATTTGTTATCTGTATCGCGATACACGATATGTTTAAGTAGAAACTCAACTCGTATTCTGTCGCTCGGGTTACTGAAGTTGCCACCACTGGTGCAGTAAGCCTAAAGCATTCAGAGTTGTGTGTTTCACTCTAACCTGATGTGTGTTTCCTGTTCTTGCCGTCTAAGCGCATGGACATGGACCGGCGCAGGGAGGATGCTAGGAACCCAAAGCGTAAGCCTCGCCTAATGGAGGAGGACGAGCTGCCTTCTTGGATCATCAAAGACGACGCCGAAGTGGAGCGGCTCACCTACGAAGAGGAGGAGGAGAAGATGTTTGGTCGAGGGTCTCGCTGCCGTCGGGACGTGGACTACAGCGACACGCTGACTGAAAAACAGTGGCTGCGGGTAAAAACATGTTTCGTTATCATGTCAGCCTCAGTCTCCACGCTGCAGCCAAGTTAGAGGGTTTTGTGTTTTTTTTCCTGCTGCTTCACCTGGAACCTCAGCAGTTAATTATACGATCATAGGTGATAAATGTGATTCACCCCGCGCCGCAGGTCACGTTTTCTGAAAATGTTGTGAATGCGATAACTCGAGAACAAAATGATGTAGGAGTTTGAAGTCTCAGTAACCTCGGCCTCAAGGTTGTGACTTAGAATTTCAAATTAATACCATAGATGTGTCGACAAGAAGGCTGAGGAGTCGCACTGGCCACTGCCAGCATTTTTAGAAATACTGTAAAGCAGACAGGTAAGTTAAAAGTGCCTCACTAATGACAGTACTCTTTAATAATATATATATATATATATATATATATATATATATATATATATATATATATATATATATATATAAATATGTGTGTGTGTATATATATATATATATATATATATATATATATATATATATATATATATATATATATATATATTAGGGGTGCAACGATACACAAAATTCACGGTTCGGTTCGATACTTTGGTGTCACGGTTCGATATTTTTTCGATACAAAAAATGTTCATGCATTTTTAATTTGTCATTTATTAAAATTATAAATATATATTTTAACTCAAAAGTACAGTTTTTAAATTTAACCCTAACCCTTGTGCGTGTTTTTTATTTTGACAGCGAATGCGCACCTGCGGACCACTTATGTGCAGCCCTGGTTATTTAGCTCATCATATTACAGCCACAGAAATAATTTTGTCCATGAAACCATAAAGCTGCACTTTCTTTTTGCCTTATAGTCTGATTTGTCATAACTTCTCCGTTTTGTGGTAAGCTTTTCTTTGGCTGTCACTTCTTCACCCTGACCTGTCTTATTTGGCTCAGCAGAACTGAAATGCTTTTACACACTCACATAAGCTCAGCGATTCTCTGCGCGATCAACCTCTCACATGTTTAAGCTGCAGGAGATTTCACTTGTCATGTTTGCATAGTAAGCTAACGATTAATAAGACGATGTCAGAGGAATTGGTGCACAAATTATCATCACTCACAGATCAGTGCTGTCGCTCTCTATACACAGTTCGCACGATTGCAAAGTGAAAGCAAAAAAACAAGCGCAAATTCAAACGCGATTTCAATATGTCACATATTGACAGTGGCTCACCGATGCCAATGACATAATTACCCAGCTACATTTCTGAAAGAATGCAAAAGCATTGACATATATTTTTCGTACAATAGCCCGACGGGCAGGGAAGAGAGAGATTTTGGTAGCCCGACTGGAAAGATCGCTAGCTCCAGGACGTCGGGCTAGCGATATTGCGAGCCCTGTATCTGATTGAGGAATCACTCATCTTTGGAAAAGAGAGTTTATTACATAGAAATGTCTCTTTCCAAAATAAAAGCTATACTATCTGCTTCTTCTGGGCTATATTCTCAGCAGCATATTAAACATATCAGGTCCCCATAAGGAGAATCATGTGCTAACAGCTGTCTAAATGACTCGGCTAAAGTTAGTAGCATGCTTGTTGTTTTTGTCTTTGCACTAGGATGATGTCGGCGTAAATGTGCAGTCATATTCGTTGTGTTCCCACTAGTGCTTTCAGGTTAATCTCGTTGAAATGACCTTAACGCCACAACACGGCAAATCTCCGTTAACGAGCTACCGCCGATCGCTCCGTGCATGGGGCTGGACGGCCAACACGTTAACGAGCTAACTGCGCTAGCACACTAGTTCACACCAATATAATTGAGCATTGCGTGGCACATCCAACATACTGTTTTACTTTAGTCCATGACTCGCTTACCTTCAGGGTCATACGTCACATGAAAACCAAAATAATTCCAAACGCCAGATCTGAATGAGGTTCAATTTGCTTGTTGCAAGCAGAGCTTAACTTCTGTCTCGCTAGCTTGCCCTGCGCTCTTCCTTCTGACTATGCTGTCTGTGTTGAGCGCTCAGTGGATTTGCGCTCGACAGTGCAGCCTAGGCGGAGTAGTCGAACACAGATTCACTGAGCGCTCAACACAGACAGCATCGTCAGAAGGAAAGTTGATAAAATAAATTACAAATGTTGTATTGTTCGATACATATGCGTACCGAACCGAAAGCACTGTATCGAACGGTTCAATATCGATACGAATATCGTTGCACCCCTAATATATATATATATATATGCAAGTAACAGTTTAACCTAAGTCTCATTATGGCTGCATGCTGTAGTTTTGCTTGATTTGATGCTAAAGGCACCGATTCACACTCAGCAAATAAAGTGTGACATGTTCCCTGGAGAGACAAACTCAGATCCGTTTTATTGACTTTAGCTCAGTTCTGTGGGAGAACGAAAATAGAAAGAAGAAAGTTTCAGGCCAAGGTGAGAATATATTGAAACACTGTCAACTGAGTTTCAGACGAACGTTAATTAAAAGAAAACGACTTAAACCTTTAAGCAATATAACAAAGCTAGAGGTGTGATGATCATAGAAATCGTTTGTCAGGGAGCAAAGCACCCCCCAACTCAAATGGTTTGAGTCATATAAAATATCAACAAGTACTGAGTGGATTTCAAAATATGAACGTTGTGTACATTAACAGGCCTGTTTCCAAAGGCAGTCTTTGGCTAAACCTTTTATTCAGTTCAGTTGTATTTTATATAAATTCAGTTGAATTGATTGCAGTGAATCAAAAGAACAATCGCCTCTCTGCACTTTATGTTGTGAGGTTAAGAACCTAGAGTAACAAATCACACGGCCCTCTATGAGCACTTGGCAACAGTGGGAAGGAAGAACTTCCTTTCAACAGGAAGAAGCTTCCAAGTGAACCAGGCTGAAGGATGAGGGGAGGGAGGCAGGACAAAAGACACACTGGGTATGTAAATATTTTACAGATGAAGCTGTATGATTAAAGGGTCCAACAGCTGATGGGTATTGAATAGCGGGGTGCAACACAAAGGATGCAGTTTGGCATGGTTTTGCTTAAATAAGCAGGGTCTTCCTGAAAAAGGTTTCTGCAGTCTGGCAGCATATGTTGCTCCAAAATGATTACATAGCTCAGGCCTTCAAAAACCTCTCGCCGTGGTTTTCTGTACCTCTGTGCTTTAATACATCAAGAGCTTTTCTCCTAGATTGCTCCGAGGAAACTTAACAAATCAAACATTTTGACACTTTTCATCGACCTACAACAAGTTGTGTGGCTTTCCTTCCTGTTGTCTCGGAAAACGGACATTTTTCAGGTCACAACAGATCATCATTAAACAGTCATTAATGATACTGGGTTTCAGAGCACAGTGCATCCTGCCCAATGTGAAAACACTGTTGGTCCTACAGTGTAACAGCATGCACCACTGATAATCTCTGAATCTTTGCAACGAGAATTGTTTTTGATTGTTGAGATCCTTGCTGTAGGTTTGACCTCAGCTCCGCTGTGGCTCTTTTCACGTTTTAGGCGATTGAAGATGGAAACCTGGAGGAGATGGAGGAGGAGATCCGGCTGAAAAAGCGCAAACGCAAAAGACGTCAGGACAAGGACTCCGGCAGAGAGGACGGAGGCACGAAGGCCAAGAAGAGACGTGGACGACCGCCAGCAGAGAAGCTGTCCCCCAACCCGCCCAAACTCACCAAGCAAATGAACGCCATCATTGATACAGTGATCAACTACAGAGACGGGTGAGATCATCCAGAGACTTGCTGCATGTTTGAGATAACGTATCATACAGTTAATATACCAGCAATTCATCTTTCCATTGTACAACCATTCAGGAAAAATAGCATCAAACAGGTGATTCACATCAAACAGGCCTTTTGGGATGAATGAAACGAGTCTAATAATTGGCTGGATGATGTATATAATAGCTGATCTGATTAGACACTCTAGTAACTCCGTGTTCAGTGTTATTTCCATAGCATATAACTTATGGAAACACGTTATAAAGTTGAGTAGAACATTAGCTAAAAGCCCTGTGGTTATAGAGGAAGGTCCAAATAGGTTCTTACCAAATGAGAGGACTTTAAATAAAGCACTGCCTTATTTTTCATTTCACAACAGCAGCATTAAAGCTGTTAAAACTTTAATTACAGTTGTACTCTCTCCATTCAGAGCGGGCCTTCTGAAACACTAGACAACCTTCTTATGCATATATTTATTTCTTCAGAGCTGTGCAGCATAATTCATTTAGCTCCGGAGCTGCAAAGAAACACAAGAATGCGTGCCAGATTACATTTGGCTGTCTGAAAGATACAAATGCTTATAGGAGTGGAGCAGTGGGCTTATCCTGTGGAGACTCCGAGGAAGGAATAAAATTACTTACATAGCAAATATAGGAGGAGGACCCTCCAGTCTTGGGGTGACTGGGACTAACACCTGATTTGTAGCAGAGGAAAGTGTTCCTTTAAGTTCTTTTATCAACACATATTAAGGTTTTGTTTTTGTTGTTGTCTTTTGTTTGCAAGCGAGCGAGCTGCTGCTGTCAAACTTAAATCGATAGATTGGCCAATAGATCATCCCGTGGTCATCGATATCCAAACCAAGTCCCTCATAAAGGCAGCAGGGACGGTGGGGAAACCAACCGGAGGAAGAGCTGATTCAGCATGTGTTAAAAATCTAGCTAACGAGGAGCTCGGTGCTTGAGGAGCGTCACCCTCAGTACATGAACTGACCTGAGAAGGTTAACTTGTCGTGGTTACAGTAAAATTTACGTTTGCATGCAAAAAGGTGGCCCCGTTTGTGAGAGTGTAGCAAATAGTGGCGTGACTATCCACTGGAAAGTACAGCCTTCTCGCTGGTCGGCACGGTGAAAATGAGCAGACGTGAGGTAATGTCTGAGAAACGGGAACCTCGCATTGGTTCTTCCCAACAAGCCAAAGAAAATAAGTGTGCGTCTGATTTGTTGTGTCTGGATACTTTCTCTTTTGCCCACATGCAGAGTCACGAGCATGCATCTCCCTGTGACATCCACCCATGCATGACAGAACATATGCATTTGTGTTCACGTTGCTCTGAAGTGCACTGGCTCACTGCTCGGCTGAAGCTTTTCCAGGAAACTGCTACCTGCCGTTCCAGAAGTCGAATTCTTTCCTCTCCCTGTTGATGGTTGTTCTTCCCAGAGCATCTCAATCACGACTCTGGCGCTGCTCTCTCCACACTTGACTGGGGCAGAATTTGAAATTTCCAGTGCAGGACTTTGGATCCCTGGGTTACAGTGATGTTTCCTAATAAAACAAAGTGTGACTCCGCATTGCTTAAAGCAAATGCGGGCGGAGTTCAAGCTGTTGCTGGAATGTAATAAATGCTTATCTCCTCAGTGGAGGCAACAGCAGCATCCAGGAAACAGGTTACGGCTTGTTTGGCAACACCTGTGGTTTCCAAGTATGATGTGTCACGCACAGAACAATTGGTTTCTAAATCAATAGTTTTTCCATCAAGAAGCTTCACCGTCACATTTCCACTCCAACCCCAGCTCTTTGATGGGAGTCAGCAGTTGAGTGTGTTTCCTAAAGTCTTTGTTGCTGGGCTTGATAGGCGTCATACATCAAAGATATTAAACCCGTCCTGAACCCTCCGTCCATCCCTGTGGTTTCAGTTCACGCAGCACAGTCTGACGCACCGAGCTGCCACATTCAGGAGCCTTGAAGCTCAGCTGTTCTGCTGCTTGCGTTATTGTGACTGTTTTTGGCTGCTTTGTCGAAATAAAGTTATCCATTTATTTTCCTGATGTCACACACCGGACAGCTCAAGTTAATCCAAAGTGTTTAAATGTTAATTGTGAGCCCTTTGGATTCAGGCAGCTGAGCGAGAACAGTGGAAACGCTGTCCGATGATTGATGCTGTGGAACGTCATCTCTTAGTTGCTTGTATTTCTTCCCCTTGAACTCCTAAATTAATGACTGCAGATTTGAGATTTCAGTATTTTTCTTTCTGATTAAGAGCTGGCCTGGTATAAAATGATTGATGAAGCCACAAGGAGATCCTTAAAAATAATCCCACATGTTGAAATGTTAGTGTTTCTGCCAAGTCTCTGTACACAAAAAGAAGGGAAGTCAGTGCTGGCAGAATCTAACAGATGATATTGGACATTTGAGAGAAAAATGGCGTGTGTGCTTTCTTACAAATGCAGATGAGTTGATCTTAGTGACAGGAGCAAGCTGGGTTCTCCTCATCCTCCTTATCTCTCTTTTCTATTTTCACAAACTCTGGAGAAACTGCAGGTAAAGACGCCGCCGTCGGTCTTCGTGCACACCGTTACCGCAGGCTCACTGCTGCAGCTGTGTGTTGGATATCGCTTCAGAAGACTCAACAGATCTAGTTCATAATTATTGCCTTAAATATCATCTAGCAGGAAAATAAGTGGGTATTTCAGGGTGTAAAATACTACCGAATACTTTGAGTGAAGTTTGATTACTGCTGGCATTTTACTTTCTGTGTTCAGAGAGGGCCTCTGTACTCGGGGTATCTGTGAAAACAGCTCGCACGTCAGATGGTTTCAGGAGCTAACCTGTCACAGCTCTGCGCTTGCTTCGTTTTTCCTCCTGATCTCCAACTTCACTTCTTTCTGACTCTTGGCACTCTGAGATCCTTCCAACTGTTCTTTGCTTTGCTAACTTTAAACTCACCCAAACACTTGTTATTTCTGGCCATTTGATAAAGTAATATTTTAGCATCTGAAGCCCGACTTCTAATCTAACTGCTTTAAAATGAATTTTGTTCCAGCTCTGGTGGTTTTGCTTTGGGGGAAAGCCAAAACCTCTCTGATGGGAAGTAATGTTTCTGTGTTCAGGAGAATAAAAGTCTTTGGTAATTCTTTTTGCAGTAGTCACTTTATCAATCATGTGTAGTAGAATATGAACCTCTCTGACAGGAGTGACGCTCCCACAGAGACCGATGTCTGCAGACACTGATGCTGATGATTGTGATCAGCGTAAATCACAGTAATTAACTTCTCCCTTCGTTAAAGTCATTATTAGTTCTCCTTTTTCTAAGTTTGCTGTTCAGTCTGACAAAATGTTATATCTCACTTCTCCATGTGCTGGGCCCTCAGCTAAAAGTAAAAAGACCCCACAGTGCAAGAGAGACATCGATACAATTAGATGATTTAATGTGAGCAGCACTTGGCGATAGTGGGAAGCAAAAACCTCCAGGTGGCTCAGGTATGGACAGCCATCTGCCGTGACCAGTTGTAGGGTCAAGAAGGAGACAATAGATCAGGGGTGGGCAACTCCAGGCCTCGAGGGCCGGTGTCTGCAGGTTTTAGATGTGTCCCTGATCCAACACAGCTGATTTAAATGTCTTTAAGCTCTCCAGAGGCCTGGTAACGAACTAATCGTGTGATTCAGGTGTGTTGACCCAGGGTGAGATGTAAAACCTGCAGGACACCGGCCCTCGAGGCCTCCCCACCCGGCCATAGAGAGATAAAAACAAAACACACTATGTGAGAGAAATGACAAATGCTGAGGGGAAAATAAACATGCATGTTTAAAAGAGGAGAGGCGTGAAGAAATGTCCCCCGGCAGTCTGAACCTGTGTCAGTGTAACTGAGGGTCACCTGATCCAGGTTTAACTTTGTGCTTTATCAACGTTTAAAGTGTCCAAGCTGGGAGCTGCTGCAGAGGAGAGGGGCCTGAAAGCAGAAAGCAATAACTCCCACAGTGATGTGGATCTTAAAATATTAATGGTGTCCTTAAATGAGACCTAAAGTAACATTTACACCCAGTTGGTCTCGTTTTATTAGAAACACTACAGCAGTCTGACCGCAGCATCCGTCCCACGAGGCTTCCTGCGCTCGCTCTTTGTTGCAGCGCTGTGATGACTGTTGGTCTGTGATAGAAAGCACCGGCAGTGTTAGTGTGCAGTAGAGTTTGACGGCATACAAACTGCTGTTTTTGTTTTTCCAGCTCTGGAAGGCAACTCAGTGAAGTGTTTGTCCAGCTTCCATCCAGGAAGGAACTCCCAGAATATTACGAACTGATCCGAAAACCCGTGGACTTCAAAAAAATCAAGGTTTGTGATCTAAGATGATCCATTCATTTGTGCAAAGGAGGGACGGGTTAGCGGGAAAGAAAGGGCTGAAAATTATAACTCCAGGTCCTTTAATAGAAGAGAATACTCAGTAAGATGAGAAACTCCTTAAATGTATTTAAAAGATCAAAGAAGTTTCTGTTTGTGGTAATCTATTAGTTTTAATTTAGTTCCAACAGTTTTTGGTATTTAACAATCAGCTCTTTTCTCTGTTGCTCGAATAGTCCGGTAAATTCACCGTCCGTGGAGCTTCGTGTCATGATGGATTTGAAAGGAAGGGCAGACGGTGAAGCTTGATGTCGATGTAGTTTAAGGTTGTGCGACCTGTGTGGATGTAGGCGTCGCTCAGTGCCGCTGTTCTGTTTTTGTCTTTCAACAGGAACGTGTGAGAAACCATAAATACAGGAACGTGGGGGACCTGGAGAAGGACGTGATGCTGCTCTGTCAAAACGCACAGACCTTCAACTTGGAGGGATCCCAGGTCAGAAACCCTGCTGTGGAACTCTCTTCATTTTCCTGCTCATCTCCGGGGCTTTGTTGGTACTCCGGGACTTCTCTAGAATAGCTTTATATATTTATATATGGTTAGAATGATTGTGTGTAGGCGGGGCCAGCTGTTTGGTCGGTGACGGGCTTTCCCCTGAGAATCTTGGCTAGACTGAGCTCGGCGTTGCTTTGATCGGCTCCTGTTCTGTCGGACTCGAGCTCGTTTGCAAACACATGGTGTTATAGTTATTAGCACTGAGCTAGCCTAAAATGAACTGTACACCCCCCCGCAGATATACGAGGACTCCATCGTTCTTCAGTCTGTTTTCAAGAGCGCCAGACAGAAGATCGCCAAGGACGATGACAGCGATGACGACAGTGAGGAGGAGGAGGACGACGACGACGATGACTCAGAGGCCGAGGGTGAGACGCACTTTGTGGCTACGCGTACCAACACACACACACCAGAGACCTTTGGTTGTCTCATTGAAATTCTTCTCAGTGCAAACCCGGCGAACGCTGCTTGGGTTTTATATTCATCGCAGCGGGAGCCCCGTGCACTCCTGCTGACAGACGAAAGTGATGTTTTAGACATAGGAGTGAGTCATTATTAAGGGAGGACATTTATTGTGAAATGTTAAAAAGCATTTAAAACCACGAAATACAGCTGATGTGCAGTAATGACACCTGAGAGATTGAGTATCAACACAAATCCCTGACAGCCCTGCATTAGAAACGGCCTCCAGCATAAAAATCTACCATGTCAGCTAAACGTTCAACAAATAGTCTCGTTTCTAATATGTTTGGTTAAACAGGATGTCGTAGCTTTTATTCTCAAACATGCTGAAGGGAAGCGGTGCAAGACTGTTCACGTTTCTCCCGTGTTTCAGCCAAGTCAGTGCGGGTAAAGATCAAGCTGAGCAGGGAGGCACGCGGCCACGACAAAGGCAAGAAGAGGCAGAGCCGAGGGAAGGCCAAGCCGGTGGTCAGCGACGACGACAGCGACGAGGACCAGGATGATAATGTAGGTTGTAAAATAATTGTACTTATGTTGCCGACACAGGTGGTTCAGGTCCATCAGCAGCTGTTGGCTGGCATTAAATCTTCTGTAGAATAAAAGGATAAAAACTTGTAGTGTACTTATGTGAAACCAAATGCTTATGTAGATAATGACGTTCAGTTCGCTATATTTCCCGGTATTATCCGCCTTCTGCTGTTCAGCCTCCGCTTCACTCAGTAATGTGAAGTTAAAGCTGTGCAGGCACCACGTCTGTGCCCACTATCAAATACACCTTGTATCCTCCCCTCTCTCCTTTCTTTCTGCTCCTTTGTCTGTTCTATGCGGGAATAAAACCACGATGAGGCCACATAAACGCTGTTCTGTGGTTACAAACTATAGAAGTTTCTCCTGAAGTTAGCTCGGTGTTAGCTCGGTACAGCAGCAGGAATAAGACGTAGCACATACAGGCAGCTTCAGCCACTCACACAGGGAAAAGCTTCAAAGTTTCATTGATCTCGTGGGATGAGATTTTGAAGATTTTAACTTCTTTGTAAATCGTCTGATGCAATCACACTTAAAGTGTTTGAAGACCATCTTCCAAATTCACTGTTTACTCTTATAGAGTGAGCTTCCCCTGGCTTTGGTCTCATATACCGACAGTCACAAAGCTCCGTGAAGCACCCTTTAATTCCTCGTCAGCTATCACGTCTTTTATCTGTGTTGATGTGGCGTTTGCCGCTCATTTAAAAGCCAAATCGCACATCTAAAGACCCAAAGGACCCTCAGAAGGATGTAAATGAGTCCTAAATATTTCTTAAACATGGTTTACGGAGCATGTTTGTGAAGCAGAGTGTAACAGGTGCATGTAGAAACCACACGTTTATATTCTCCATTTATTGTGCGATACTGTGAGAACGAGGTGATGTAGGACTTTCAGTTGATACCGTAGGTGAACGTACTAAAAATCTTGAATGAGTTTGAATCCCAGTGACCTTGACTTCAAGGTCAGAGGTCAACTTTTATACCATGGGTGCATCTACTGGGAGGCCGAGGGGTGGCCCTGGCACCTCACTGCTGCCAGCTAAACCTGATTGACTTACCCTGGTCAGAAGTTTTTTTTTATTTTCATCTATCTTTTTCCATAAATAATGAAATAATAATGGATTGCATTTATATAGCGCTTTTCAGGGCCCTCAAAGCGCTGTACAATGCCACTATTCATTCACTCTCACATTCACACACTGGGGGAGGCAGCTACAGTTGTAGCCACAGCTGCCCTGGGGCAGACTGACAGAGGCGAGGCTGCCATATCGCGCCATCGGCCCCTCTCGCCATCGGCCCCTCTGGCCATCACCAGTAGGCAAGTAGGGTAAAGTGTCTTGCCCAAGGACACAACGACCGAGACTGTCCGAGCCGGGGCTCGAACCGGCAATCATTTTCTGTTACGCCCCCCTGAGGAAGAAGAAAACATTTCACGCCCCGCCCACTCTCCCCTGTCACTATAAATAGTATCATTTGTCTATAAAATTGTTATTATAAGTACATTTCTGCATAACATTGTATCCTTATTAACATTAAAGACAGCATAAAAGAAAGAAATATAGATCAACTTAAAACAAAGACTAACAATGTTGTTTAGTCTGTAACAGAAAGGATTTAAGTACATGTACTAGTACTGCGACTCTCTAAACTACTACAGACAAAGTGCATCGATTTGCCTGAAATATAAAAACATCCTTCTTCAAACTATAAACATTTTTTGAACCATTTGATTCTGAAAAATAAAATTAAACAAAATCCATAAATACATTTAAATATATCTGCAACATTAACTGCTCAAGTAAAGTACAGATCCTAAGAACGCTGCCACCTACTGTAGCGGATGTGCAATTACACTGTATGCCGGTCCGTGTTCCCCGGCGGGGGGACTATTTGAGAAGGACCGTCTTAGTGTATTTTTCAGCGTAAGTGAGCAGCTTACCTTTGTCCAGGTGTTGCATCAGTGTTTGTATTTATGATGCTGAGTGTTTAAGTGTCTTATGTTGGCTGAGCTCGGAGCCTTCACGTTACTCCGTGAATATGAATGCAGCGATTTCATCAGCTGTGTGCCGGCCGTGGTGGGAGCACGCTCTGCCCTGACGGAGTCTGTTCAAAGGACCGCCTTGTCTGACTCGCCTCACTCCTTCACTGCTCTCCTCGTTAGCCTCAGAACAGGAAAAGATGTGAAGACCGCCCGTCCCACCTCTTTTTCCTCCGGAGAGCTTTCTTATTTCAGCGTTGTTGTGTTGCGACAGGCCGCTCTGCCTCTCGTTGCTGCTTCGCTGCATCCTCTTCCTCGTTCTTAACACTCTTCTTCTCTTTGTCTCTGCAGGATCAATCAGACAAGAGCAAAAGTGATGACGAGTGACGAAGGAGAAGCAAGGGCGCGAGGATATTGTTTACAGCACTTAGAAACAAAGGACAATATCTTCCATTGCTGTTGTTCAGGTTCATGTTCCTTAAACTTTGCTCCGTGTGTCTTCTGTGTGTGTCTGTAGGGTGTATTCTCATCTCCCACCAGCTTAGAAATGTATTACTTACAATCGATAACATACAGCAATACCAATCAGCTTATATTTCTCTTTTTAAGACAATTTTGTAGTATATTTTTTAACTACGTGCTTTAACAAAACACAAAATGTACAAAAAAGAAAAACACACATTGGTCATCCTATTTGCGCTTTTGCTTTGTTTGTAATCGCTTGCTTGCACTTTAAAAAAAACCTTCAGTATCCTGATTTTTAAAAAGTCAAGTAAAACAAAAATATGTATAATCAGTGAAATCAAAGCTAATTTGGAGAAATGGCAGTCAGTTTTTTAAGTTTTGGATTTATTGTTTTTAACGTGTGCCGTGCCAAATGTAGACAAACTGACTGTTAGCTTAACCCCTCCCACGCGCAGCGTCTGTCCAATTACAGCTAGGCTTTTTTAAGCTTGTACGAAATAAATATGAAAGTAAGTAAAAGATTTAATAGTTATCTGCCTCAGTGTGTAGATTAAACACGCTGTCAGCGTGTGCGCTCCATAAAGAAGCTAACACCTGCTAACTGGCCCAGGCTGAGGTCACCTTGTTCTGTGGGGTGAGTGGACACGTGTGGAAAACTGAATCATTCGCTGGACAGCGTTTGGAACAGTCTGTGTCGCGTGTTGTAGCTCATGTGGACAAGTCCACAGTCCAGTCCAAGTCCTCAAACTGTTGAAAGCTGGGCTCACGTCTGTGTTAGCATGTAGACCACAGTCTGTGTGTCACAGATGAGTCCACAGTTACGACACTTTCTCTCAGAACTGTAAAGAATGCAGTGGAGAAACCCAAAGTTCACTTCTGCTGTTCATCGTAGAACAATCCAGTTAAATCTCATGGTTTAGTCTAGAAATGGGCAGAAGTGTCAGGCGGGGTCCTCGTGGTTCCAATGAAGGCTTTCTCTGTTTGTCGTGGACCAACGTGGGTTAGGGTTCTTTCACCTGCCCCAGGGAGGACTTGCATCTTAAAGGAGGAGAACTCCTGCAGGACTCACATTGAGGCAAACTTTTCTTGACGAGTAGCAAAAGGAGAGATGTTGATTTCATTGTGGTGCAGACAGCCCACAGCCACTTTGGCCTGGTAGAGGCGACGAGTGTGTGAACGTTGAGGTACTTCTGAGTTTCCCAGCTGCTCTGAAACTCTGGCCACTAACTGTACTTTAATCCAGCGTCTCCCTCGGGCTGCACATCAGTCTGTGGAGATGCACTTTTGTCTCTTATCTGGGACTTCCTCGAACTCAATTATCTCTTCAGCCTCTTTATCTTTCCTCACGTGCACATCCTCCCTGTTATTACCATCAGTGACTGAGGGCTCTCTGAATGTGATATGTCAGCTCAGTCTCAGTCCTGCAGCAGCGGCCGGCTCGCTGAGTAGCACAGCATACTGCTGCAACATCAGGAACAGCTGTGCGCTTCATCAAACATTCACACACACCTGATTACTTATTTACCTACAGTAACAGGACATTATATAGATCACATAGTACTAAGACAGGGCATTTTAGTCATCACAAAACAAATGTACATATTAATCAGCCTCTGAGCCTGACACTGAGGCACGCAGACCCTCACGATCAAATCTCTTTGTGTTCTGTCATTACGTTACAGTTCACTGCTTTCTGCTCCATCAGCCCCACCTTAAAGCTTCCTCCTGCTCTCTCCCAAAGCAGCATGTCGGCTGCTGTCCTCCACCTCCTGCTCTCCTACATCTCGCTCTTCATTAGCTACAGCTGCCTCCTTTCTTTCACCTCCCACAGAAACTGTGGAAATATGAAAACAGAGACTGTAACACTGGGCCAATTATTAGCGTGTGTTTCCTTTGGTCTGTAGGTACTCTGTTGTGCTGTTACCGTTGGTCCAGCATGTCTTTGAACCTCCTTAGGAGCGGGCTTTTTGAGTCTTTGGAACTAACAGAATTGTTTTCATTGGTTTGAACAGTCGATAAATGCTGAGCAGCTGCTGATAGATGTCTTTGTAGCTGTGTGGTGTGAGGGGTTCCCCGAACAGTCTCGTGTCACTGCCCTTACTGTTTGGCCCCGTCATCAGTTTACAACAGTGATTCACTGTTAGGTTCCCGGGGCTGCAGGGCAGAACATGCTCTACTGCATGCTGCAAACAAGCAATCTGTCCGTACTTTGAAGAAGAAAGTACTTTTAGAAGAACATGATTTGGTTGCATGTGGGCTCTGTAAGGGAAAGCCAACACATAACCACTAAACAGCAACTTACAGAGCAGTTTTGCTGTTAGCCCAGCAGTTACAGCCACACTGAGTGACTGTGACTGTTAGACTGAGTGAGTAGTGTAAATTTCACGATATGTTTAGACTGTTTGGACATTAGAAGACTAACTGCTTCCTCTGATTCTCCCTGGAGACCTGATGCCATGTTATCAGTTTGCAGAGATACAAAATTGCGTTCTTACCTTCTGAAGTGCTCAGCTGTGTCCCTGCATCACCTTCATCAAACTGTTCACACGTTTAGTTAAAGATCGGCAGTTGCAGATTTTCACAGCTCACTGAGCTCAGCACCTTGTTCATGAGTAGAGCCTGCCTGCACATTGAGATATAGACTCTCTGCATCAGCTTTTTGTTTTTAAAAGGGAACATTTGTTTCTTTCAAGGTATTTAAAATCATCCTGTAGACATTTCTAAATACCTGGGATGTTATAATACTGTGATATCACCAAGGCCTCATGTACAGAGACGCCATGTCCCTGCTGTAACTTAAATATCCAAACAAAATAAAAAGGCTCTTTAAATACCCACTAAGAGCTTTTTAGATTAGCTGGCGGGAGCAGAGCTGTACTCGTGTGTCTATGCGTTCACCTCATGTCGAAGCTTTACAGTTGCAGTAACGGTAACAGGAGGGCGGGGCTTAGCAGACGGTCAGCAACGCGATTACACGATTGTGAAAGTACAGGCAGATAAAAACGTGCGTCTGTAGCTGACAGATGAACTTGACACAGCCAGAAATGTCCGACGCTTTTTTAACCGCTTCTAGTAAGACAAATATAATCGCACATGATTAGGGAGGTGCACGTGGTTCATGTGTTCTTCCTCTGATGTTTTTAACATTTTCTGTATCACAGCGTTGTCGCATTAATTTTCTCGTTTTGTTGGAGTTATTTTCTACGTAGAAAGCTCGTGTCAGACAGCGGGTTCACGGGGAAACATCTCACTTCGGGGAATGAAACCAGATTCTGTCGTAGCGCTAAATGTAGCGTCTGAATACATGTTACAGTCGTTTTGCAAAAAAATAGAAAATGAAATCATAAAAATCTGAAAAATAAGTGTAACAAACCGAGTCTGACGGGTTGTGACGGCCTGAATTACTACAAAGAAAACAGTATTATGAGATTAATGAGACGTGTTGGTTTGTTTCAGGTGTTCGTGTTCCTTGTGAATTAGTTCTAAACCCTCATTTTATTGTTTATGTGTTATTTGTAGCATGCACTCTTGACAGTATACCGTGCACATGCAGATATATCATTTTTGTGTAATATGTGCTTGCCGACTCTCCGTAAGTGTGACTTAATCTTTGCTTTCTTTGCACAGTGTCTTTGTGGTTGTATCTCATAGCCCAGGGCAAATAAACATCACTGATTTCCAACACAAAGATCGCGTCTCTGCTTTTTCTTTGCCTTCTGCTGTTTGTTGTGTTTGTGTTGCCGATATTGCCGCTCACCTTTGTTCTGACACTTTATTTCAAAAACTCGTTAAACTCCTGAAGTTCATCTGTTTTCGGTTGTAAAACTCAGTCTCTCTAATTAGGGAGAACTGCAAAAGTCATGAAATAAGAAACATTTGAATGTGCTGTTCTTCTGCACTAAAGTTAACGAGCAGCGTAACCTCAGTGGTTTCAACTGACGCAGATCATCAAATACCGTTCAACTCCCACGTAGGGATGGGTACCGGTGTTGTGCCAAAAAGTGATTGTCTGCCAAAAACTGATTTCCAGTGTTTCTGTGTATTTTTTATGTGTAATATCTTTACGTATGTTCGTAAATAGACTTCGGTGAACAGGGGATACAAAGGGGTTACATAAAGAATTAAAAAATTATCTGTTTTTTAAGTATCTTTACAACTTGTACTTACATTATAACCAATCCGGTCCTTTATCCCCACTTAAAATATTTTTACAGAACTATTGTAATATTTGCTGCCATTTCTGCTGTCCTGTTGGGCAACTTACTCTTACAAAATACATTTTTAATGTTAATGAGATTTTTTTTTACTGCATAAATAAAGGTTATATAAAAGTCGCTGCCAAAAACTGATTGCGGCTTGTATCTTGCTACACGAATGTTGTTTGTGGCTCAAGATGACTTTATGTCATCCATAAGGGATGCATTTGACATATGTTTAACATATTATAGCCCAACAAGTTACTTATACCACTTTAAATATGAGCAATCGCTTTTTGGCAAATACCGGAAATCAGTTTTTGGCAGACAATCACTTTTTGGCACAACACCGGTACCGGTTCTGACATAAACGGTAGTAACCAGACCGAAAAGCAGAGCATAATTCGGTGCTTTTTTCCCCCTGAGCTGTGACACATTTTAGATTCTAGCCAATAATCTTACGTTTCCGAGGATAGTAGGCGGGTCCAGGTACGTACGTTCTGTTAGAGCAGAGCTACAGATTAAAAACGCCCAAGGCGAAGCGGTCAAAAGTCTGGCTGTACTTCACAGCAAAAGATGCAAACTCAGCAGCAACAAGTGCTTTAAGCTGATACTGTGATACTGTCAAAGGAGGTAACACCAAGAATCTGATGAAACACCTGGTGACGCATAGTGTTTTTTTTAAAAGCCCAGAAATGCGCCGTATTTGATAGCTTGCTGCGAGACCTCACACCGTGCACATCTACTGTGCGTGGGTTGCCTGTTATGAGACCCGGATTTAGCAACATCCCC